GAAGAAGAATAGATATATTTTTTTGGTGTATCGTTTTATACATAAGGCAGCTGAAGAAAGAATATGCCACCCTTTCCACCATGATCAGGCAGTGTTTGGCATAAATCAACTTGACTTGTTGACAGATTATGGTCAGCATCATGCTTCACCTCCACGAAATCGTACATAATGACTGTTTTAATGACTGTTATGATAATTTGGTTAATTAATTGCTATTGTTTTAACTATGTATGTATTTATGGTTTTATACTGTGTTATTCATTGTGGCATCGAATTGTTTCCTTTCGTTAGGCGCTCTGAGTCCCCCCCCCCCCCCCCGGGGGTTGAGAAGAGCGGGATAAAAATGCTATAAATAAATAAGTGGGACATAATTCCCAAATAAATGTCTTCACAGATTGTGTGGAAAAGCCTTTCAAACTTTGTTAAAGGAATTAACTTAGTGCTCTCTCTATATATCTCTGAATTAATTTTGAAGGTAACGGTTTTCCCCTGACATGAAGTCTAGTCATGTCCGATTCTGGGGGGTGGTGCCAGTGTTGTCCGTAGATGCCTCCAAGATCATGTGGCCGGCATGACTGCACGGAGTGCCGTTACCATCCTGCAGGAGTGGTACCTATTGATCTACCCACATTTGCATATTTTCAAACTGCTAGGTTGGCAGAAGTTGGGGCTAACAGTGGGAGCTCACCCTGCTCCCCAGATTTGAACCGCCAACCTTTCAGTCAGCAAGTTCAGCAGCTCAGTGGTTTAACCCGCTGCGCCACGAGAGGCACCATTTCTGAAGAGCTGTGTTTAATTATGGGTAGCAGTTGTAGAATTATTTTGCTCCCTTGCAAGAGATCCCATTTAAATTGTCCTTGCTTTGAATGTGAAGACTTTAAAATAGTTTTGTGGCAATTTTCAGTTCCCAAATCTAGTACTAGTGACAGAGAAGAGTTTTTGAGAAAACGATCCTTTTTAAAACAAGTTGTTAACCTCCAAAATTATAAAAAATCAAAACACATACTGAGCATTTGAAATAAATTGGAAATCTCCTGAACAGGATGCAAAACCTGAACATTTTTTCACAAGCACAGCTCGCCTGCTGATGATCCACTGTGTCTTCCACTATATTCACTATATGTTGCACAGGTAGTATGCATGTGTTTTCAAAAAGAAGAGTTTCAGAGGACTGTGGGATATGCAACGATAAAAACAAGCTAACATGGAGGAATAACAGCTGATTCAGTCAGAAGTGCATTCATTACTCTTGAGGTTATTTCACACAAGCCAGGATCACAGAAAAACCAGCCACCACACTGTCAATGCAAGGAGCACCAAAGCAGACATCATGAAACGAAAGTGTGGAGTAGGAAAAACTCTAGGGTACAGATGACATGTTTTGAGTGATTTCTGCTCCTCGGGCATTGGAATAGAAATCTTTCCCTGGGCTTCTTCATTTGTTTGCTGGGACAAAGTTCCCTCAGTAGATGCGTCTTGCTTTTTAGCATTCTCTTCATTCTGAACTAACAGATGATGTTCCTGCGTCTGCTTTCATGGTAGAAGATCAAGAGAAGACAGAGAGATGAACAAAATGACAGATGAAAAGTGCTCAAAAATGATGCTTAGGGATGTGCAATGACAAAAGTCACAGAAAATGCCTCAGACTAAATAAGATTGCATGTCCTGTTGGCACATAAAAGAGCTTGCTCCAATAATCTCATCAATCGGGCCAAAACGCTTGGAGAAACCAGTCATTTGCAAACCAGTTCTCTGTTATCAACAATACTCTCATCTCATATTAACTCCGGCTATATACTGAAATATAGGTGCAAAGTTAACTTACAGAAAATGTGTGAAGCCATCATCACCCTGATGTATTTTTTTATATAAACTGTTGGTCATGACTTCGTGCCCAATGCACGTCTTCAAAATGGCTGGACGGTATCTGTAAGCTCTCACACCTATTTTGTGGTGCAAATATAACTATTTAAGTTTTGCAATTGTATTGCAATGGAAGAGAATATCAAAATTTCCACATCAAAATTATATAGTAGTTAAAGTGCAAAGTATTCCGTTTCTTAAAACTCAGGAAAATGGTTATTTTAATAGCAAGATTAGAAAAAATGGATTTTGCTGTACATTTCACCTGTGACACTTGTGTGTACATAATGTGAAACAATCTAGTAATTCTATATGAATTAGCTCAGACTGGAAAACCTGTTGGAAATCCTTGTTTTAAGAAGTTAAAAAGATATGTGGATCCCATGAATCCTGCTGTGTATGGTATATAAAGGAGCTATCTAGGACAGGAAAAATTTGGCTCTAAGCTCTTTCAGTTGAGTCAGATTAGATTGATATTTGGGGACAGGGTCTTTGCACACCCCTAAGTGGTGGGTTGCAGGAAAAAAGTAGCTGGGGTGCTGGCCAGCAAAAAGGAAATGAAGAACATGAGAGTTAAAACAAAAAAACAGGGAAAAGAGAGGGAGACAACATAAAGAGAATAGGGTAGAGTTAAACCTTCATCATTGCTCATTCTCGCCAAATATATACCAACATCTTCATGCAACTTTGTCAATGAGCCATGCACTAAAAATAAATAAAAATCCAAACTGAAAAGCTGCAAAAGCTTGCAGCAGTGCAAATCTTTTTACTGTGTTAGATCATAAGGTTGTGAGAGAGAAAATTACTTTAAATAGCAGCCAAAATTAAATGTCACCAGCAGCTGCTCTTGAGGGTTTCCGTTTTGCTTGGTGCCAATACAATAGCAAAAGTCTACTTCAGAAGCACATATCAAAACAGCAGCTTTACCTCTGGCCCACCAACCTTTCTCTCATAGGACTGAAATGTGGCTTTCTTGACCTGGCATAAAGTATGGAAAGTTCAGTTGTCTTGCAAATGATAATGATCGTAACAACAACAACAATAACAAAATAAAACTTTATTTATATACCGCTCCATCTCCCCAAGGGGACTCAGAGAGGTTCCCAAGTGATATCACAAAACATACAGAGTGAAAACAACATAACCATAAGATTAACAAACAAACTATAAACATAAAAATTGTCGCCATAACACACATATATTAAAAGTAATCATGCTGGATCTAGTTAAAATAAGAAAAACATAGACACCAGTGATGGCTAATTATAATGCACTACTCATGCTGTGTAAGACAGGAAGTTAACAGACTAAAGATGCCTACAATTGCCTCTAATTATTCTAAAAAAAGTCCACCAGTCTATGTTATTACTGAAACAACATTTCTGCAGAAATCAAAGTAAAATCAAGAAATAGGAAAGAATTCTCTCAAATTAGTATCAAGGAACACTGCTCTCAAAAAGCAGAACACACAAATAAACAACTTCCATTATTATCAGGAGGGCGACTAAAATGATCAAGGATCTGGAGAACAAGGCCTGAAGAAGAGAAGGCTGAGAGGAAACATGATAGCCATGTATAAATATGTGAGAGGAAGTCTCAGTGATGAGGGAGCAAGCTTGTTTTCTGCTTCCCTGGAGACTAGGACATGGAACAATGGCTTCAAACTACAAGAAAGAAGATTCCATCTGAACAATAGGAAGAACTTCCTGACTGTGAGAGAAGTGCAGCAGTGGAACTCTCTGTCCCGGAGTGTGGTGGAGGCTCCTTCTTTGGAGGCTTTTAAACAGAGGCTGGATGGCCATCTGTCAGGGGTGCTTTGAATGCGATATTCCTGCTTCTTGGCAGGGGGTTGGACTGGATGGCCCATGAGGTCTCTTCCAACTCTTTGATTCTATGACTCCTTTTTCTTTTTAATCGTGTCAGAAGTGACTTGAGAATATACTGCAAGTTGCTTCTAGTGTGAGAGAATTGGCCATTTGCAAGGATGTTACCCAGGAGATGTCTGGATGAGTTACCATCCTGTGGGAGGTGTCTCTCATGTCCACGCATGGAAAGCTGGGGCTGACAACAGCAGCTCACCCCATCTTACGGATTTGAATGCCGACCTTCAGGTCTTCAGGTCAGCAGTTCAGTCAGCAAAAGGATTTAACCCACTGCATCACCGTGGTTCCTATTTCCACTGCAGCTCCTATCTCTACTCCTTAACAAGCAAGCATTTCACCACCCATTTGTTGTCATCAAAGCTTCCTTAGCCAAACATTATAGGTTCTGCATTCAATCTCAGCAACATCAACAAAGTATTTCACAGTTCATATATGTATATTTCAGTGACTATGAAACTAAAATGAACCACACAAACACCAAACTCAAACCCTCTTATTATATACCACAATCAGATAATAATAATAATAATAATAATAATAATAATAATAATAATACTAAGACAACTCAGTGTTAAAAATACACTAAGCGTGTGTTACTGAATACCACACCAAAATTAATGGGCTTGATTTTAAAAAAAACGCTAACGAGGAACAGCGGCTTGTCCCATTCTACAAAGCTTCTACACAGAACTCATACAGCACAAGTTCTTATGCATCTCTGAGTACAAAAGGTCATACAAGTTACTGCATAAGTACATTAATGTTTTTGGATTACATTTATCTTTACTTCATCCAACTTTTTCACACACAGTCACTTTTGTGATGCCTACTATACATGGAAGGACACCTTTGGATCCGACCAATATAAGTACAAGTATACTAAACAATAGACTTTTAAGATTAGCAATTATGTCAAAAACATTTTGTTGGTAATACAGAACCTAGATTAATACTGTGAGAGAGCTGGATCAATTGTTCTGTGATAATAGTAAATGACACTTGAGATATGCAGCCATAAGCTGTACTGAAACTATCTGCTAATGTGGGTCGTATGCACTGGAAATGCTATTAATGAAAGGTGAATTAAGCTAGAATTTGAAAATATCCCATTCAATATAGAGAAAAATGAATCAGTAACAGAATGTGTTAATGTTTGTTTACAAAAGTTATTTCATTTCCTGAAGAATTAAAAAATTATTTAATTAAAAGCAGAGCCAAACATATTATCCACTTCATATTACATAAAGTACTCACTCCTCCTACTCCTGAAGGAATCTGCCCATTGATGTTAAGAGTCCTGAAGGGAGAATGAGTGGATAAGCGCTTGTCCCATTCACTTGGCCGAGGCTCAGGAACAGATTCCATAAAGTTCTTTTTCAGCTCACTGATGTTTGCATGATGTTTCTTTATCTCCTCTTGAGTTTTATCTAGATCCTGTCATAAAAAATAAATCCAGAATAAAAACCATGGATCAATGTGTTTAAAAACATAATTATCATTTTTTGAACTGTCAAACCTGCTGTACTAAATGGATCAACCTCCATTTAGCTATATTCTAAATGGAGTATAGCTAATAATACATAAGCTAAACTAAAATGCATTGGAAACATCACCTGTTTCTTCTTCCCTAAGATGTGGGTGGGTGGGGAGACTTTACCAGTGGGGAAAAAAATATTGCTATCTACCCATGTATTAAGTCTACCTCGTGTGTAGGTCAAAGGCAAAGTTTGGGGTTAAAAAGTATGGTTTTCATTTATTATTAATCTTCTATTATTATTATTATTATTATTATTATTAATTATTATTATTATATTGGAGCCCCCAGTGGCACAATAGGTTAAACCTTTGTGCTAACAGGACTGAAGACCAACATGTCAGATGTTCGAATCCAGGGAGAGCATGGATGAGCTCCCTCTGTCATCTCTGGCTTCCCATGCGGGGACATGAGAGAAGCTTCCCACAAGGATGGTAAAACATCAAAACATCTGGGCCTCCCCTGGGCAACGTCTTTGCAGACGGCCAATTCTCTCACACCAGAAGCGACTTGCAGTTTCTCAAGTTGCTCCTGACATGGAATAATAATAATAATAATAATAATAATAATAAATAAATAAATAAATAAATAATGGAACCCTTGGTGGCGCAATGGGTTAAACCCTTGTGCCAGCAGGACTGCTGACCAACAGGTTAGAGGTTCGAATATGGGGAGTGCTGGTTGAGCTCCCCTCTATCAGCTCCAGCTCCCCATGCGGGCACATGAGAGAAGCCTCCCACAAAGATGGCAAAACATCAAACATCAGGGCAACTTCCCCTGGGCAACATCCTTGCAGACAGCCAATTATCTCACACCAGAAGCAACTTGCAGTTTCTTAACTCGCTCCTGATATGAAAAAATATATATTATTATATTTATTTATACCCTGCTTTATCCCTCCTGGAGGAGACTCAAAGCAGATTAACACAAAAGCATCAGCATAACAATTTAAAATATACAAATATAAATATGCAAACATCAAAATAGGATTAAATATAAACAGCATTAAAAATTCCCAGTTTAAAACCACTGAAACATATTCAAAGTTAAAAACCACCGCACCCGATGAATTGATCTTAAAAATCGGTAGGCTGTTAGGAATTGTGGGAGTTGAAGTCCAAAATACCTGGAGGGGGGCCCAAGTTGGCCCATGCCTGGTATATAGAGTAATTTCTAGTCAATTTAAAAATAATTTTCATTTAACAGCCTTGCTATTTACAATAAAAAAATTAATTCACACTTCAAAATTCACCATTGATATTTACCTTGCTTTTTGTTTATTTCTAATGTAATTACTTTCCCAATGCATAACAAATATGATTAGCACCTTTAAAGCTGTAATCCTACACTTACTTACCTGGGAATAAGCCACACTAACTACTACTACTAAACTCAGTAGGACTTACTTCTGAGTAGACATGTATAGAATTGAGCATTAAGAGACGATTTCTTATATCTGTTTATTCCTCTCTGTATTGCACTGCTTGCAAAGAAAGCAAACTAACATTCTTTTTTTTGCAATGTATTAATATAAATTCACTTGAAGGATTTAAAATATTTTCTGAACTTAGTAAGAGAGTCACTAGCAAATAGAGTTTTGAACATACATTGCTTCCCAATGTAATATTATTTACTTGGTTGACAGTTGGAGAAGATACTTTTTTCTTCTCGTCCTAGCTTATGCAAGAAGATGTGTTGGGGGGTGAGGGACAAAACATATGTAGAAGTAACCTGTCACAAGTATTAGTTATTACTAAAATCACTGATTTCAGCTGAAAGGTTTATTACTGGCGTGGGGAAACTTTGTCCCTCCAGGTGTTTTGGACTTCAACTCTCACTATTCCTAACAGCCGGTAGGATTTGTGTCTGTAGGAGTTGAAGTCCAAAACACCTGGAGGGACCAAGTTGGCCCATGCTTGGTTTATTAAGTAAGAACAGGTTGTTTACCCGCAATTCGAGTTGAGTGATCATTTGTGCTTTCATACATATTGGTCTGTGCCTGGGCCAAAGATGTCAAAACCTTCAAGAATCGAGAAACATTGAAAGTAACCCCCCACCCCATCCTCATTTTATGTTCCTGCTTTCAGTTAAGAAGAAAAGGTTTAGCAAAGAAGGTAAACATCTACCAATGTGCTACTAGAGAGGAACAGGAGTCTAGAAAGTCCCGAGATCATGATTCCTACAGACACAAATCCATATGTATGATGCAAATATGCCATGATAAAGAAAAAAAACCCTGTTTTGGTTACTTTTGAGAAGTATTAACCAATTGTTTATAAAAATGCAACGATCACAGTAATTAGCTACTTTTGGCCCTATGACCACAACTATTGTATCTTAAAACTAACTTTCTAAGTTATGAAGTGGTTTGAGGAAGGAATAGATACTGATTATCGTTGGAAAGCTTGTAGAGCAGGCCTGGGCCAACTTCAGCCCTCTCTCCAGGTGTTTTGGACTTCAACTTCCACAATTCCTAATACGTGAATTGTGAGAGTTGATGTCCAAAATACCTGGAGGGAGGGCCAAAGTTTGCCCATGCCTGTTGTAGAGCATTATTATTATTATTATCATTAATAATACTAATATAAATGTGGCAGACAATAGGCAAGGAAATCATCTACAGGTAGAACTACAACTCTGAAAGGGAATTTGAGGTCGATATCTTGGTACATACCAAATGACTGGAGTAGCTCCAAATGTCAAGTTTAGGACTGAATGGTATATCAGAGAATTGTGTTCTGGCTTATAATTCTGTGCTATGACAAAGTATGAATGGATTATAGTTTTCCTCTAGCAGAATACAACAAATGGTCTCTGTCTTAGATAAGTTTATTCGCCAAAACACTACACTTGGAGGGCCACCATCGTCGGGCTACAAGGGATCGCCTAAGTAGGTAAGTTTATGTGCTGTTTCCCTTTAGACTGTATTTCCGCATTGAGATCTCTCTGATCTCTTCATGTAGCTCCACCTGGAAGCAGCTAAATACGTCTAGCCTACTTCGTTCATATCGGATATGCTGATTTCATTTATTTTATTGTTCAAAATGCTGCAGCCAGGTTACTAACAAAATCGCCTATGAAATGCCATGTAACACCAGTGCTGCGACATTTACATTGGCTTCCAATTGATTATCATGGTCTGTATAAGATGCTAGTCCTGACCTTTAAAACTTTATATGGCCAGGGTCCATCCTATCTTAGAGACCGTCTCTCCTTCTTCCATCACCGGAGGTCAACACGTCCTTCCCAACGTGATTTACTCTATATACCGGGTCCTAGAGAAGTGCATTTGGAAAGTACCAGGCGCAGGGCTTTCTCTATTTCTGCCTCTGCCTTATGGAATTCCTTGCCTCCCTATATGACAACTATGCATGACTTAGTGTTGTAGTACAGTGTGCTGATCAAGCTACTACTAGTAGTAGAAGGGGAAAGAGGGCTGCTCAGGTGCTGGAACAAGAGCAGCAAAGGAAGCGAATTAGGGAGATATTCATGACACCTACAGATACTGAGTCATTCGAAGGTTTCACAGACTCTGAGATGGAGGAGGAGGGAGATGGGAGTAGAGGTTTGAAACGGATTACTCGGGAGCAAGAGTCAGATGAAGAACGGGAAAGGAAGCGGATCCGTGAAATACTTAATGCTCCAACTGAGGAGGAAGACTTCATGGGGTTCACAGGGAGTGATGGGACTGGGAGTGATGACGGAGAGGAGGATGGGCTAGATTGGACCTGTGTGCAGGAGATCAGGGACATATGTACTCAACCCACATCAAGTGATGAGTTTGAAAGATTTTTGGGAGATTGGAAACCCGGTAATACATGGGGTGATCTAAGTCTTGATAGACGCTGGAAAAGTTGGAGGGATGGGCGGTGGCGAGCAGCTGTGGAAGCCAAGGCACCTGAAAGTGATGAAGACAGGGTGGAGAGCACTTCAACATCCGATAATGAGATATAGGATAAAAGAAGGTATCAAACATTGGGGACTTTGCAGTAGGCAAAGTGTTGTAATTGGGCTTGGGACTTTGTTGCTGCCATTACTTTCGCCTTGGGTCCTGGGACTGCAGATCGCTGTGTTTCCGTGCTTCTACTGGCTGAAATCCTGTAAGTGCTGACTTCTACTTCCTTGCTGACTTCGGATTGTTTTTGGACGACGACATCGCGTTTTGGACTTAAGTTCTGCTTTTGGACGTGCCTCGACTTTGGACTGTTTCCTGACTACATTTTTGCTTGCTTCCACCTTGCTACCTTGTGTTTTGTGAACTCTGTGATTTTGAAGCAGTTTGCTTGAACTTTTTGTTATACTCCAGCATAATCCGGATTATTCTCCAAGTTGCATTTTTTGCATAGTAGTTTGCTACAGGCTTTGTTTTCTTGCTAGATACACTGAGTTAAGTGTTTCTGAGCTATTTTTGTTACTTTAATAAACCTTGTTTGGACCTTTTACTTGTGTTTGGCTCCTTTAATGCTTCTGGTTCACGACATTTAGGGCCTTTTACTCTAGAACTTAAGACCTGGCTTTTTATTAGAGCATTTGACTTATGTTAATTTATTAGTATCTGTTTGTATGTATTTTATTCTGTACTATTTCGCTATGTAAACCGCCTAGAGCATCTCGGATGGAGGGCGATTAATAAGTAATTAAATATGATGATGATGAATTAGCCAAGTGCTTTGCCTCAGTGCTTCCATTAATTGGGGTTTTTTTGGCCAAACAAAGTCAGAGCATATATTTTGCCACAATGCTAAAAAGGGGGGGGGGGGCTAAGAAATTATTCAGAAATATCTCAGGACTTTGTTCTGTGCATAAACCTGCAACAAAATAGTTAAATTATCACGTGAAGTGTATAAAGATGTGTTAGCAACAAGAACTGGTCCACATGTGCAGTGTAACAGAGACATGTATGGCAATGGCAAAGACAAGTACATCAAGTTGAAAATCTCTTCTAGGAGGAGAACACTAGATTAAACCATTGATTTTAATGAGACTAAAGATCATGGCTGAACAGCCTCTTGACAAATTATCTCCTGTTGACTGGATTACACGCCGCTTTACTGATTTCCAAAATTCTGCATAATAGCCATCACCCCCCAAAAGCTGCAAAGCATTACATTTCTTTTTAAAAAGCACATGAAAAGGGACACTGTTGAAAAAATATATATTGACTGCTGTTTCTATCATTCTGACTAAAACACATCACAAAGGAATAGAGTCAGTATAAGAAGCCACACATTTTACTAAATCAATGATATATGATTGGAATATCCAACTTCATCAAGAGTCTGTAGTTGTGGGGTGAACTATAATCAAGCTTGCGTGACCTTAAGGCAAAGTGTCCAAGATGCATCGCATCAAAGGCACATAAAATTTGAATGACAGAATTCTAAAATTGTAAGTTGGAAAAATTTGAAATACAATGAATACCCCTTGGCAAGAATATGCTCTTTCTCCTCTGTGGAGGGAGCAATGAACATTTTGGAAAATGGGCTTTCAATAAAAAGCTACAGTGGTATTTTTTATTAAATTGCCTAAATTTTTGGATGCTTATGGGAAGTTATGCCATCACGAGTGCGTTTAAAACACTGTAGAGGATGTTGGAATATAATGGCTACCTAAATACATTAATATTGTTCAGTTTGTTTTTTTATTTTTACCTTTTCATTTCACAGAGATTTAGATGTAGCTCAGCCTTTGTTGGCTTCTAAAGGGATAGCTGGACGTATTTCTACTATGTATGTATGTATGTATGAACATGCATGTGAGTATACATACATACATATACATGTGTATGTATGAGCTAAGTAGCTAAGAAACAGATTACATTATGTGCAGCAAAGATTCATAGGTTAGCCTGGCATTTCAAAGTAAGAATGGTAAAATCTCTTTGCACTTCTCCATCAGCCCCTATTCTGAAACTATTGCACAACCTCCTAGCCCTCTGAGTTCGGTATTTATTACTGATCAGGGTATGGATTGTTTTATGATGTTGTGTTATGTTACTATGATGTGTTTATTTTATCTTTTTATTTTATTGTGTCATGTTTTAATCTATGTTTTTCTGGGCTCATCTCCATGTAAGTCATCCAAGTCCCTTTGGGGAGATGGAGGCAAGATATAATAATAATAATAATAATAATAATAATAATAATATGAAAGCATAAAAAATTAAGCCAGTCAATGTTGACCTGCCCAGGCCAGTGTTCTGGCTTGATCTGACGTAGTTATGCATTTAAAAGCCCCTCTAAGCTTTCAAAACGCAAGGAAATTATAGCAACTGAGGAAAAAGCCCTCAGTTGCTATAATTTTAACATGTAGGATATGTTTGTTTTGTTCAGTGATCTGAAAAGAAGAATGGTGTTTCTGAAGTTGTATTGTGTGGAGTGTGACTATAGTGCTTACCACACAAGAATGAGGACTAAGCTCAGAAGGCTAAATGAAACTGTGCTAGAGATACTCCAGCTTCCCCAAAACAACCACATGCATTTTCTGGCAAAAGAATCCTTGGGTTGTTGTAGGTTTTTTTGGGTTATATCGCCATGTTCTAGAGGCATTCCCTCCTGACGTTTCGCCTGCATCTATGGCAAGCATCCTCAGAGGTAGTGAGGTCTGTTGGAACTAGGAAAAAGGGTTTATATATCTGTGGAATGACCAGGATGGCACAAAGAACTCTTGTCTGTTGGAGCTAGGTGTGAATGTTTCAACTGACCACCTTGATGAGCATTTGATGGCCTGGCTGTTGTTTGGTGTGGTTTGTTAGTGCCTGGGGCAATCTTTTGTTGAGAGGTGATTGGATGTCCCTGATTATTTACTCTCTGTTGTTTTGCTGTTGTAATTTTAGAGTTTTTAAATACTGGTAGCCAGATTTTGTTCATTTTCAAGAATCCTTGTTTCTAGAGCAGACAAAACCTGCTGGTAACTCTGAAGAATAATGATGGCAATTCTCCATGACAGAGATAGTGTAACTGCAGAAAGATTATCTTTTGCCTTCTCATGAAATTGTGTTACTTACTAAGTAGAAATACTGACACTTTTGATGGCTTTGATTAGTTCTTTACCTCATTCACCATCTTAAATTAATTCTCTGTGGCAGAAACTGTGGTAGGCTTGGGGAGCAATTGATTTAGGGGTCGATTTTCCACTCCACGGAATTCCAAAAATGGGAAGGGGACTCAAACCAGAAGTGGCCTATACATCTAAGGACCCTTCCACACAGCCCTATATCCCAGAATATCAAGGCAGAAAATCCCACATTATCTGAGTGTGGACTCAGATAACCCAGTTCAAAGCAGATATTGTGGGATTTTCTGACTTGATATTCTGGGATACAAGGCTGTGTGGAAGGGCCCTAACTTTGAAAAAAAAGCTGTTGTTTCATATTACACAATGAGGTCCTGCAACCAACATACAAAGTAAGTTCCGACTCCTCCTGGCTTCTAGCAGAGGGACTTCAGTGTCTTTTTTTAATTTTTAAGAAAAATAAGCTGTTGGGAGTTTAGAAGGATGAAGGCCCCTTTTACATTGTCCTTATATCCCAGGATCTGATCCCAGATGATCTTCTTATCCAGATTATCTGGCAGGGGAGGCTCATATAATTCGGTTTAAAGCAGATAATCTGGGATCAGATCCTGACATATCGGGCAGTGTAGAAAGGGCCTAAAAGTTCCACACATGAACAAGGAAGAGGCACGTTAAAATCCTAGTGTGAGTCACAATCCTGTGGGCCCATGGTTTGAAGACTACTGTTTATAAATCTAACCAAGGAATCACATTAATGACATTTTGGAAAGATAGTTTAAACGAAGAGCTATCCCAATCATATATTTTAGGGAACCACAACAGGAAAAATCTAAAAGATAGGAAAAATGATTGCACAATGTCATGTTTATTGGCATGCAAAAGCCTATTTTCCACCACTTCATGCAAGAGCATGCAAAAACAAAACAAAAACCAAATGTAGCAGCAGAGGAGGAAAAAGAGTTCAGCAAAGAATGCGGAAGGTCCAGGCAAACACAACTGAAAGAAGCTTCAAATTCATACAAACCTCCAACATTAAATTGCTATGTCTTATATAAATGTTTTCACCATCTAGCCTCTTTGATCTTTTCTGTGAAAGTGAAAGAAAGGGGGGGAACAAACAAATAAGCACAAAAAAATTAAGAAGGTTGTTCTTGCAGGATTTGGCAAATTGGAAAACAAAGAAGGCTAAAGTAACATTTGGAGAGGTGTGAGATGCCAATTTGGTGTAGCACCACAAGTTTGTGGAAAAAATCTGAGGAAGATGTAAGACCTTTCTCGTGAATTGTAAAAGAATGGAATGAGGTATACAATTCATTAAAAAGACAGTTTCCAGAGCTTCACTGGCTTACTTGCATTTCATACACTGCCTCAGTTCAATGAGTAACTGATCTACTACTTTCTCTGTAGAAGTCTGGCTATTGGAGTGATTTAGTTAATTATGCAGGACATCAGAACTGTCCTCAAGGCATTGCATCCAAACATTATTTGTGAAACGAGTATTAGTTAAAAGAATATCCCTAGGTTGAAGTTGACAAACATTTCCTCTTACTTTACAGTCAAACCGTCTCTCATTCTTCAAATACTGATTGTTCACAGTTCTTACAAATGAATAATTCAAGTTTTGAAATAAAGAACTGAGAAACCTCAAATAGAAAATATGATTCTAAAAAAGTACAGTTCATTTAGGACAGAGTTGGCTATTCTATGGGCAAACAGCAGCTCTTGTTGAAAATACAAGCAAATGAAGATGCAAGAACACTGTCTTTTTAAACACATCACATATGCATGAGTGATATGACAAGTTTGCTTTGATGGAAGAGAAAAAAAGCTAACCTTCCTCATTCTTATTGGTTCTTCCTCTTTCTCTGCACGCTGCTGTTGTGTGATAAGTAAAAGAAGACAAAAAAAGTATGTTTATTTATTCATTTTGAAATGGAGGTTTGAGTTTCCCCCCTCTCTGTTTTTTTTAAACAAGAAAGAATGCAAGGAACTGAATACAACCAACATACTGTTGATCACCATTGATGGTGAGACTGATATTTCAATATGGATATGTTACGTTAAAAAGTAAGGTGGCAGAAACATTTTGGTTTGGTTAGTAGGGCTTTAGATACAGCTTTGTTACAAAAATAGCTATTTGTTTTTGAAATACTACACAAACATGCAGTAAACTCACATGCGGTTAAGAAATAAGTGACACCATATCTTACAGCAATAATTTGTAAGTTCAACATCCCTTTTTCAAAAAAGTCAGTTTGAATTCAATGTTATAAACATTTCTTCCCAAGTTTTTCTTGTGACTATGCTTTTCAAAACAACAGGTAATGAATACGATACAGACAAATGCACACGTGTCAAATGCAAACATGCATTGCTAGGTTCATGATTCCCTGAAAAATAAGTACAAGATTTGTGAGAACTCTGTACTGCTTTGAATGTGACTGGGTGAGCTGATGCTGACTAGTCTGAGAGGAAACGAACAGGTGGCCTACCTGCAACCACATTTCTTTGAGGCGTCAATTGTGCACTCCCACATAGGGGGTCATTCTGAGCCTGTATGGAGATTTTCAGAAGCTTCTAGTAACCCTGTCCCCTCACTCACATGGATATATGCCATGAATTCCTACCAAAGTCCAGCTCCAACTCTGCCTGTAGAGGGGTAGCATGAAGAGGGGAAGTGGGTGGTTGCACTCAAAGAACCTATTCTTCTCCATGGTCTCTGTGACTCACACATATATAATATGTGCAGCCTGTGTTCATGTGGAAATTGCTTGATCTTGGATGAAGTACAGGTTTGTGTGAACTCCCCTAACCCAAGAGAGAAGCACTGTTGCCACTATCACTGCCACTTAAACTGTAGGTCTTGACCCCCTTTCTTCAATGTTGGGATCACAAAAAATTTGGCAACAGTAAAAGATTTCTGAACACCATCCATTTACACAAATCTGTTGGCAACAATGTACAGTGTGTTACAGTGGAGTGAAGAAACTGCTTCCGCTGTACTCCAAGAAAAGGAAAAACAGCCTGTTTAGCAAGCCTTGTAAATGACGAGTTGTTTTCAGTAAATGTTTGATTTTAAACCTATTTTATATACCTACTAGCCGTCCCCTGCCACGCATTGCTGTGGCCCTGTCTGGTAATCTGGAAAATGGGGGTTCTGTGTGGGAAGTTTGCCCCAATTCTTTCGTTGGTGGGGTTCAGAATGCTCTTTGATTGTAGGTGAACTACAAATCCCAGTAATTACAACTCCCAAATATCAAGGTCTATTTCCCCCAAACTGCATCTGTGTTCATATTTGGGCATATGGAATATTCATGCCAAGTTTGGTCCAGATCCATCACTGTTTGAGTTCACAGTGCTCTCTGGATGTAGGCGAACTACAGCTCCCAAACTCAAGATCAATGCCCACAAAGCCTTTCTAGTGTTTTCTGTTGGTCATGGGAGTCCTATGTGCTACATTTGATTCAATTCCATCATTGGTGGGGTTCAGAATGCTCTTTGATTGTAAGTAAACTATAAATCCCAGCAACTACAACTCTCAAACGACAAAATAAAAAAAAAATTGAGTGAAGGACATACATTGGGTTGTTAGGTATATGCTGTCCAAATTTGGGGACAATTCATCCAGTGGTTTTTGAGTTATGTTAATCCCACAAACTAACATTACATTTTTATTTATATAGATATACCTGGGCCACATAAAAAAATATTGGGCCAAGAAAGGTCATGAGTAGAAAAAGTATAAGAAGCCCTGGTTAATATCACTGAAGGCAACTAGATAGACTGGATTCATACATCTCCCTGTCTAAAGAAGATGCTATCTATCTGGGGAAGCTAAGCAAGAGAGACATATGATCTATGCACAGAGCATTTTTATATATATAGATGTTCTGTGTGTAATGAGTGCCTTAAAAACAAAAGAACCACACCAAATTTGGCAACAAAATGTCTCACAACACAAGGAGTGACCATCACTCAAAAATTATGATTTTGTCATTTGGGATTTGTAGTTGCTGGGATTTATAGTTCACCTACAATCAAAGAGCATTCTGAACTCCACCAACGATGGAATTGAACCAAACTTGGCACACACAACTCCCATGTCCAACAGAAAATACTGAAAAGGTTTGGTGGGCACTGACCTTGAGTGTGGGAGTTGTAGTTCACCTATATCCAGAGAGTACTGTGGACTCAAACAATGAAGGATCTAGACCAATCTTGGCACAAATACTCAATATGCCCAAATGTGAACACTGGTGGAGGTTGGGGAAAATAGTCTTTGACATTTGGGAGTTTTAGTTACTGGGATTTATAGTTCACCTACAGTCAAAGAGCATTCTGAAGTCCACCAACGATAGAATTGGCCTAAACTTCCAACATAGAACCCCCATGACCAATGGAAAATACAGGAAGCATTTGGTGGGCATTGATCTTGAGTTTAGGAGTTGTAGTTCTCCTACATTTAGAGAGCACTGTGGACTTAAACAATGAAGGCTCTAGACCAAATTTGGCACAAATACTCCATATGCAGTTGAAAACAAGGGAAGAATGGCTTCATTTCTTCTGTTTCTCTTATTGTTTTGAACTACTCAGCCAATTAAAAGGCTATACATTTCTTGCACTGGTACATGCCATACACCATCTTGTTCTGGAAACCAATAAGAATTTCAAAACTCACTTCACACCTTCATACTTTTCTCATGTGCACCTGTACATATGTGGTGAACAGTGATGGTCTAACACACCTGGACTCCTTCAGTTAACTCTGTTTTTGATTTCTCTGCTGGAGTTTCTTCTACTTTTGCTTCTTTTCTAATGGTTTCCTTCTCAGGTTTAGTAATTGCTGACTCCTTGTTATCAGGTACAGGAGGTGAAGTTGGTTCAGCTAAGTGACTCTGAGCAATAGCCGGTGCAGACGTAGGGCGTGGGCTTCGGTCAGGTGTAACCACTGCTACTGCTAAGTAGAAACAGGGGTAGGTTTTTTAGTAAAGAGTGAAAAAAAATCCAAGATCCCACCACCACCAATAACAAACAAAAAAGAAGGGAAAAAATTAAGTAAGCAGTGCAAAAGGAAGATGTGAAAAGCAGTTGCAATATTTAGGATATATAGCTCTCCTGCATCTGCTGTTAACAATAAACTTCGGCCCTCCAGGTGTTTTGGACTCGGTAGGCTGTTAGGAATTGTGGGAGTTGGGAGTCCAAACACCTGGAGGGCCAAAGTTTGCTCATGCCTGGTATATACTCATGTATAAGTCTAGAACTATTAGTTACAAATTGACCCCAAAATATGGGTCAACTTATTTCTGGGTCAAATTTAACTGCTGTACCTTAACTCCTATATGAAAAGGAGCTGGCCCCTTTTCTAAGTATAGTGGCAAAAGGCAAGAGTTTAAGCCATTCTGGGATAAAAAGAAGCAGCAACCCCCTCTCCCTACTTTCTCCTCCGTTGGTTTGGTGAAGGCTTGGATGGGAAAATGGCGGTGGCAGCAAGGGCAGCTGACTCTCCGAGGCTGCATTAGTGCGCTCCTCTCTACTCAGAATAACCCTCGACTTATCCACAGGGCGTATCAAAATCCTTAATTTTCACCCCAGAACTTACGCTCAATTTATGTGTGAGCTTGACTTACACAGGAGTATATACAGCAAGCAAAATTTGATACTCCCGGAAGAACACAGATTAGTAAGAAACAACCAGTATTGTCTAAAAAATAATCACTACGATTATGTCATCAGCAGGTTACTAATATTTAACATCATAATGGCGTACTGAAGCAGAACATCTGAGTCCTTGAAAGTTAAAAAAGGACTGACAGCCTTCCTAGACCGGAGAGTGGCCATCACTTCTGTCTTTGAAAAAAAGACACTGGCCTAAAACTTTGCCTATACTGTACACCCAACTTAAACAACATGGCTCCTCTCTGTTTCAACAGGCATAGATCTCAGTATGGATGAAAATTCCTTCCTGTACTGATGATGATGATGATACTAATAATAATAATAATAATAATAATAATAATAATAATAATAATAATAATAATCTTTATTTATACCCCGCCACCATCTCCCCAGTGGGGACTCAGAGTTGCTTACATGGGGCCAAGCACGGACAACATATTACAGCGGAATAAAACCAAAAACATAGACAACAAACAACATCATCAAAATTACATAGACAGAAAGAAAAAATCCAGTAAACACAGTCACGATAACAGTGGGCAGGCCACATGTACAGGATAAAACAATTAAAAGACTCTAATGAGATAAAAATAGGAGCAGGTTGTTTGCAGGGAGCTCATAAAAGACAAACAGAGGTGTGAAACTAAACTTTTATTTATTTATTTAATACACTTATATACCGCTAATATCTCAGCCTGAACGGCGACTCATTGCGGTTTACGGCGACTCATTGCGGTTTACGGTGACTCATTGCGGTAAACTTCCCACTTGAAGGGCGCGTGCTCCAGTGGCAGAAGCGTTGAGGGGAGCAATAATATCATGAGGGGAGCAATAATATCAAGCCCTATGAGGAGCGGCTTAAGGAGCTGGCCATGTTTAGCCTGAAGAAGAGAAGGCTGAGGGGAGATATGATAGCCATGTATAAATATGTGAGAGGAAGCCACAGGGAGGAGGGAGCAAGCTTGTTTTCCGCTTCCCTGGAGAGTAGGACGCGGAACAATGGCTTCAAACTACAAGAAAGGAGATTCCATCTGAACATGAGGAAGAATTTCCTGACGGTGAGAGCCGTTCAGCAGTGGAACTCTCTTCCCCAGAGTGTGGTGGAGGCTCCTTCTTTGGAAGCTTTTAAACAGAGGCTGGATGGACATCTGTCAGGGGTGATTTGAATGCAATATTCCTGCTTCTTGGCAGGGGGTTGGACTGGATGGCCCATGAGGTCTCTTCCAACTCTTTGATTCTATGATTCTATGTTGTACACCTACTCGTCAAAGGCACAGCAGAACAGCCAGGTTTTAAGGTTCTTTTTGAACATTTCTAGTGAAGGGGCTTTCCTGATCTCTCCAGGTAATGAGTTCCAGAGTCGGGGGGCCACAGAGGAGAAGGCTCTCTCCCTTGTGCCCACAAGACAAGCTTGTGAGATTGGTAGGGGTGAAAGGAGGGCCTCCCCCAAAGATCGAAGGGCCTGGGTTGGTACATGAAGAGAGATACGGTCACGAAGGTAGGCAGGTCCCAAACCGTTTAGGGCTTTGTAGGTGATAACCTGTACCTTGAATTGGGACCGGAAAATAAACGACAGCCAGTGGAACTCCTTAAACATCGGAGTCGACCATTCCCTATAACTAGCTCCAGTTAAGTACTGTCAAACACTTTAGTTCTCCTTCCTGTAGAAATGCTGCCATTTAAAAAACCCTTAACCTAAGTTTCAATATAATAATGTTGGGTTAACACACCGGTTTAGAGGTGCCATTAGAAAACACCCTTACAAAGTCTCTTTCTACATCATCTGAAATGCAGAAAGGGATTACACTGCAGTTCCTCTTATCGTATAACTTCAGAAAGGGACAGGTCAGTGGTTCAAATCAAGGGAGAGCACCAATGAGCTCCCTCTGTCAGTTCCAGCTCCCTATGCGGGAACACAAGAGAACCCTCCCACAAGGATGATAAAACATCTAAACATCTGGGCATCCCCTGGGCAATGTCCTTGCAGACAGCCAATTCTCTAACACCAGAAGGAACTTGTAGTTTCTCAAGGCGCTCCTGGCACAGAAAGGAAGGCACCAAAGAAATTGTTCTGAGGCAGCAAGAGAGGCAGGAAAATCTCCTTTCAAAAACACATTTAATGCCAGTTGTGAACAGGCTGCATGGCTGTGTATTTTCTCCTCTCTGTTAAATCTTTGATTGCTCCTCTTTCCTATTCCACTATACTATGGACTAGTACAAGTTCATTTTAATCTTATCTACACTGATCACACAACTGCCTGAGAGAACACAGAGTATAGTTAGGGACATAGGGGAAAAAGCTCTGCGGAGCATGCACACTGCAAGGGTTAACACTGCATTCAATTCATGTTAGTTGTTACTTATGGACATTTCCTAATGTTCACAATGCTATATGTAATCCTTTACATTCTTCCACAAATAAATGTAATATTAAGATTTTAACAGGATGATTGCTCAGGGTACATTCTCACATCATTCTGTGAAAGCACCCTGGCGCTGGTAAATGCTGCTTACTGTAATGAGCAGAGTGGACTTATGTGGGATTTTATTTATCGTGTCAGGAGCAACCAGACAGTTGTATTACATTTTTAACAAAACAAGCAAACAGACAAAACACAAAGTTTGCAAGCTTGGTAGTTGATTAAATGTCCTTTGACCAGTATCTGGCCACTTGGAGTGCCTCTGGTGTTGCCGCAAGAAGGTCCTGCATTGTGCATGTGGCAGGGCTCAGGTTGCATTGCAGCAGGTGGTCAGTGGTTTGCTCTTCTCCACACTCGCATGTCATGGATTCCACTTTGTAGCCCCATTTCTTAAGGTTGGCTCTGCATCTCGTGGTGCCAGAGCGCAGTCTGTTCAGCGCCTTCCAAGTTGCCCAGTTTTCTGTGTGCCCAGGGGGGAGTCTCTCATTTCGTATCAGCCATTGATTGAGGTTCTGGGTTTGAACCTGCCACTTTTGGACTCTCGCTTGCTGGGGTGTTCCAGTGAGTGTCTCTGTAGATCTTAGAAAACTATTTCTTCATTTAAGTCGTTGACTGATACCCAAACGAGGGATGAGCTGGAGATGTCACTGCCTTGGTCCTTTCACTATTGGCTGCTACTTCCCGGCGGATGTCAGGTGTTGCAATACCGGCTAGACAGTGTAATTTCTCCAGTGGTGTAGGGCGCAGACACCCCGTGATAATGCGGCATGTCTCATTAAGAGCCACATCCACTGTTTTAGCATGGTGAGATGTGTTCCACACTGGGCAGACATACTCAGCAGCAGAGTAGCAAAGCGCAAGGGCAGATTTCTTCACTGTGTCTGGTTGTGATCCCCAGGTTGTGGGAGACAACAGAGAATACAGTCAGCCCCCACTTTCATGAATTTGATTACTTGCCAATTAATTGCTGCTGCCCTACACCATTTTAACAGGGAAATTGAGGGAGACCACAATTGCATGATGAGACATTTAAATCCCTATGAAAAATGACACAGAGTCATATAGGGAGATATGCTCTGCCAAACAGTTGGTTATGACCTACAAACAGCTTTCTAGGTCATAACCAATTAATAAATAGCAACTGTATTGTATCTTAACTGTATTTTAACTTATATCCATGGCACGGATATGTAATTCTCACATGTCCGAACGCATCTCCCCTTATGAACCATCTAGGACCTTAAGATCATTTGGAGAGGCCCTGCTCTTGTTACTGCCTTCGTCACAAGTACGTTTGACGGAGATGAGAGACAGGGCCTTCTCGGCAGTGGCCCCTCAGCTGTGAAATGCCCTCCCTATAGATATTAGATCAGTCACTTTCCTTTTAACATTTCGGAAAAAAAGTCAAGGCATGGCTTTTTGAACAAGCGTTTACAAATGCAGAGTAACTGACATAGGAAAAGGGAATGACTAGACCAGAGGTCCTCAAACGTTTTAAACAGAGGGCCAGGTCACAGTCCCTCAAACTGTTGGAGGGCCGGATTATAATTTGAAAAAAAAACCCATGAATGAATTCCTATGCACACTACACATATCTTATTCATAGTGCAAACACACTTTAAAATAATACAATAATTAAAACGAAGAATCATTTTAACAAATATAAGCTTATTAGTATTTCAGTGGGAAGTGTGGGCCTGCTTTTGGCTGATGAGATAGGATTGTTGTGGTTGTTGTGTGCTTTCAAGTCATATCAGACTTAGGTTGATCCTGAGTGAGGGCCGGGTAAATGACCTTGGAGGGCCGTATCCGGCCCCCAGGCTGTAGTTTGAGGACCCCTGGACTAGACAATGAGTCCGGATAACATTTTTAACAAGGAGACACTATGAATTTATATTTTATCGATTTGTTTAGTTTTTATTATATGTTATGTTTTTAATTGTATTTATGATATTGTAAGCATTGAATTTTGCCCTGTTAACCGCCTTGAGTTGCCTCCGGGCTGGGAAAGGTGGTATACAAATACAGCAAATAAATATATAAATAAAAAAAATCTTCAATTGTTTTTATTTATTTATTTGCCATATTTTTACATGTATTAGGTTGTGTCGTGTTATGGTATGCTGCCTTGAGTCCTCATGGAGAGAAAAGTAAATAATTACTGACAGCAAACCATGGTTTAGGACCAGTTCAGCTTTTTTGGAAAACAGTAGAGCTGGGTGTCATCCGCATATAGATTATACTATTCTAACCACAAGGACACAGCTGAGCAGACTGTATTGTTTCTCAGATATTTTTAAAGTTAGATATTGACAAAAATTCTGCTACCTATTCAATGAAATTGTACAAAAGGCATGCTGTTGTATGTAGAAGCATATCGCTTATTTCAAATTCCCTTGTTCAGCCTTTTGGTGTTCAAAATTATTCCCTCATATTTAAATACCAACTCATACAGAGAGAAGCACAACAGGGTGATCTTTTTTTCCTCAAAAACAGGAACAAAAACCAGTTATTAACTGTAAAAACTAGCTCCTTTTTCCACTGAACAAAATGCTTTGACTAGACCCTGTTGGTAAGATTATTGGTCAAATAAAAGGTTAATTCAAAGAAGCAGAACTGAGAATGGTTTAAGACCAATTATAGACTGAACTAGTATAGTAATTCTAGTAAATTTCTAGTAAGAGGGCCGGGCTTTAGCACAGCAGGTTAACCGCCAGCTGCAGTAAATCTTGCCAACTGAAAGACTGACAGTTCGAAGCCCAGGTCAGCTAAAACCTTTGTTGTTCATTCGTTCAGTCGTTTCCGACTCTTCGTGACTTCATGGACCAGCCCACACCAGAGTTCCCTGTCGGCTGTCACCACCCCCAGCTCCTTCAAGGTCAATCCAGTCACTTCAAGGATACCATCCAACCATCTTGCCCTTGGTCGGCCCCTCTTCCTTTTTCCTTCCATTTTTCCCAGCATCATTGTCTTCTCTAAGCTTTCCTTTCTTCTCATGATGTGGCCAAAGTACTTCATCTTGGCCTCTACTATTCTTCCCTCCAATGAGCAGTCAGGCTTTATTTCTTGAAGTACGGACTGGTTGGATCTTCTCGCAGTCCAAGGCATTCTCAGAACTCAGGGAGCATACCACTCCTCTGTTGAGCCAGCTCCACTGGCTGCCAATCCGCTACCGGGCACAATTCAAGGTGCTGGCTTTAGCCTATAAAGCCCTAAACGGTTCTGGCCCCACTTACCTCTCCGAACGCATCTCCACCTATGAACCGACTAGGACATTAAGATCGTCTGGGGAGGCCCTGCTCTCGGTCCCGCCTGCGTCACAGGCGCGCTTGGCGGGGACGAGAGACAGGGCCTTCTCAGTGGTGGCCCCTCGGCTATGGAATGCCTTGCCGGCAGACATCAGACAGGCACCTTCGTTGCTGACGTTTCGGAGAATGGTTAAGACCTGGCTTTATGAACAAGCGTTTGGCTAAGCAATGCAACCAATCAAGGAAGACGGTAAATGGAACATAGGAACGGCACATGGACTATGAGAACGGATCTGATTTCAACTGAGGCGTTATATATGTTGTTTTGTTGATTTGTCCTGTCTGATTGTTAATTGTTGTGGATCGATGTGTTGATCCTGTTGTTGCATTGTTATGTTTTAATTGCACTGTAAACCGCATTGAGTCGCCTGTTAAGGGCTGAAAAATGCGGTATAAAAATGAAGCAAATAAATAAATAAATAAATAAACTTTCCTCCAACACCATAGTTCAAAAGCATCTATCTTCCTTTGCTCAGCCTTCCCTATGGTCCAGCTCTCACATCCATAGGTTACTACGGGGAATACCATTGCTTTAACTATGCGGACCTTTGTTGCCAGGATGATGTCTCTACTCTTCACTATTTTATCAAGATTGGTCATTGCTCTCCTCCCCAAGAAGTAAGCATCTCCTGATTTCCTGGCTGCAGTCTGTGTCTGCAGAAATCTTTGCACCTAGAAATACAAAGTCTGTCACTGCCTCCACGTTTTCTCCCTCTATTTCCCAGTTTTGAAAACAGTAATGTAAGTAGATAAATAGGTACTGCTTTAAAGCAGGGAGGCATTTAAGGCACCCATAAGAAACTGCCATAAAATGCCAGTAATTCGATCAGGGAGGAAGTTTACGAACAAAACTCTTTGGCAGGGAAAGTGGAGCAATAGCGCGCGCGCACACACACACACACACAATGGCTGGAACCAGCATAGCTTCCAAAATGCCAAAGATGGGGACAGCCTAGATATACTTCTATGTGCAGTTGTCTGTCTTGTCAGTGTGTAATGGCGTTGAATGTTTGACATATATATGTTCTGTGATCAGCTCTGAGTTACCTTTGGAGGGGAAGGGCAGAATATAAATACTGTAAATAATAAATAAATAAATAATTCTAAAACATAGGTTTTTAATGTTGATACAGTCAGTGGACTAATCAATAAACTTTGCTTTGCTCTAAAACATAGAAGAGATGTTATGTACTTTTCTCGGGGGAGGGGAGGAGAGGAAGGAGATATCAATATTATACATATTAAAACCTTAATAACCTGAACAAAGCAAACAAATTCTATAATCAAGAAATAGTTTGAATATAAATTCAGGATTGCAAATCTGTTTTCTGGGACACATACAAAACAGCACAAAACTCCATCTCAACTTCTTATTTCCATTTTGAAATCTGACACATGATAGTTTTACACTTCAGTCTTCAGACAAGTAATCCAATTAATGAAAGGCATTTTCCCAACCCTCTGAAGTTTGCAGTGCTATTCCGATGCCCTTGAGGACTTAAATACAGAAGAAGTCAACTGAAGTTAAATTCCCTTTTTTTCCACCCTATGAGGAAAAGACGCATGCCAGAACACGTGAAACATTTCAGAATTCTTAAGAAAAGGCTGAATGGTGTTATGAAAGGATAGAAAACTCACTGCAGATGAAGAAGGAGCGAAAGAGAAAACCAGAGCTACTACCCACCCACAGCGATACCTGACTTCTCCTGAAATTGTTCCACGGGCTCTGATTCCGGAACCCCAACCAACACCACATGCTCCTGCTTCTCCTCCTCTACTGGTCTGAACTCAATTTTTTGAGAGTCACGTTTAGCTGAAGAAATTGTGCACATGTTACAGAATATCCAGAAAAAGTATATAATGCTGTAGATTTCAAGTGTGGGTAAATTATTGCTTTTTCTTTTTCAATTTTTCAATTGGACTTTCAGTTTGAAAGCCAAATTCTACCTCTTCAGGTGCACAACTGATGGCTATTATTAACAGGACACACTAAAATAGACAATTTTTAGTCTTTCAGGATAATTTTGAGGTACTTTTAAAAACATTTCTGAATTCTAGATTGTCACATCAGCAGAGACACTCACAGGATGTTAAACTTTCTTCTACTTGTCATATGAAAACACAAGAAGCCTTCGGTCATATAAGAAAATCTGTCACTTTAGTTAGTCCTCATATCAACATTATTTCTTCAGAAACTTGCTATTTATATTATTCGCAATGCCTGAAGATATGGGGATGCAGTGGCATAAAGTTAAGGACTGGGTCTAGACTACTGGGTTCCAGTGGTCTCTGTTCCTCTGTGCCACACAGAATTCATGCCTTTACAAAACCCATTTATTTACTAAACCTAACAAATAGTAAATTAAATACATCCTGAGAAGGAATGTGAGCATGTATAAACTCCAGGCATGGGGGGGGGGGGGGGTTGTGGACTGAACAGCCCTTGTGGTCTCTTCCAACTCTATGATTCGAACTCAATTAAGCTAAAGCTCAGAGTTCAATAAACCTACAAATTTAAGACTAGTGCACAGGTAAGCATAACAAAGTTCAGATACCCACCACCATCAAGGCTTCTAGAGGCCCTCTTACTTGCTGTCCGTTCAAACTGAGGCGCAGGTCTGTCGATCAGAGCACTCGCTTGTCTCGTCTGTGCTTGTGTCCGACCGCTGTAACGGAATTTAGAGCCCAGCACCAGGAACCTGCTCTTGGGAATGGCTTCAGTGGAGGTTAACCTAGAAGGGACAGGTATGCTGTAATTTTACTTCGTTTTTAACAAAGGGATCCTTGATGTTCATTTGGATCAGATTTAATGTGGTACAGGATTACAACTATCTGTCAGGATTTTAAGATACACAGCCTTTCTTTAAGTGACAGCAAGATCAGTGTCTCAGGCTTAACCACAGGTGTCATTGTAATTGGGGTATGGTGGCTAGTGCTGAGACTATCGTCATATATGCTGTATTTACTCGAATCTAGTGAGCCATCCAATCTAACGCACACCTCGATTTTTAAAACCCTGAAACCAAAAAAAGTATTTGCTGGTTAATGTAATGTGCAGTGGTAAAAAGTGAACTCTTATATGTATGTAGCATTTTAATGATTAACATAGTGTATGTAGCATTGTATGTAGCATTGTATGTATGTATGTAGCATTTTAATGATTAACATTTAATGAGTAACATCACCAGACTGCTGTGGCCCAGTCTGGTGATCTGGAAAATAAAGTAATGGTTTCTAATATATGTAATTCCTTTATGCTTGTGGGTAAACAGTATTTCTTGATGTTTCTATGTCAGTGTTGATGTGGAGATTGTCTGGATTGCCTACTCTGGAACATGTGACATATAATCGTCCTTCTTTCATCAAATCGATGATACTATATCTGTGTGTGTGTGTGTGAATCATATATATCTATATCTATGGCTGGATGACTTTTCGTCAGGAGGGCTTTGATTAAGTTTTCTTGCCCTGGTGAAGGGAGTTGGACTGGATGGCCTTAAGTATTTTCTGTTGGTCATGGGGGTTCTGTGTGGGAAGTTTCCCCCAATTCTGTCGTTGGTGGGGTTCAGAATGCTCTTTGATTGTAGGTGAACTATACATCCCAGAAACTACAACTCCCAAATGTCAAGGTCTATTTCCCCCAAACTCCATCTGTGTTTATATTTGGGCATATGGAATATTCATGCCAAGTTTGGTCAAGATCCGTCTTTGTTTGAGTCCAAAGTGCTCTCTGGATGTAGGTGAACTACAACTCCCAAAATCAAGGTCAATGCTCACCAAACCCTTCGAGTATTTTCTGTTGGTCATGGGAGTTATGTGTCCCAAGATTGGTTCCATTCCATCTTTGTTGGAGTTCAGAATGCTCTTTGATCCCAGCAACGACAATTCCCAAATGACAAAATCATTTTTTTTTGAGCAAAGGACATACATTGGGCTGTTAGGTGTCTTGTGTCCAAATTTGGTTTCAATTCGTCCAATAGTTTTTGAGTCTGTTAATCCCACAAATGAACATTACATTTTTATTTACATATATTTTAATGGTGTATTTTGTGTTGCATTTTATAATCTGGTTTTTATGTATTTGTTTGTTCTATATGTGAAAGCATTGATAAACTACTACTAATGGTAATGCGATAGATGAGTAGCATAATCCTAATAGCATCCTGAAGTGCTATCCTTAATTTTTCCATACTGAATGCTCTTTGCTCAAAATTTGGGGAAGGGGGAAAAGTGATGGTATTTTAGGATTGTGGCCAAGTCTTACACTGCTGGGCTGGCTATTGTTGCCAGTTCTCTTTGGTTATTGGGGGAGGGGGGTGCCCACAAATGACAGAAAGGGGGGTCACAGGCTACGCCTTTCCTACCTCAGTTTAAATCGGACATAGGAAAACTTGGGCCCTCCAGGTGTTTTGGACTTCAACTCCCATCATTCCTAACAGGGTTTGCCCATGCCTGGTCTTGAGGCATATGTTAGCATTACATTTTTAAAACTAGCTGACTAATTTTAGAGATCACAATAGATTCTGCCTCACAGGTTACATAGTTTCTTTTTTAAAAAACAAAGTTTATTATGTTACTGGAGTTTAAATGGATTTAATTTATAATTATTGCCACAAGATGCACAACACTATGAAAGTGATTTTTTTTTAATTGTGGCATAAAAGTTAAGTAAACAACAATAAAACACAATTTATGGTTGCATAAGTCTTTCTTCCCTTTGCTGTGACATATTTAAATAAGCTCTGCTTCAACCTAGTTTCCAGAAGTCACATAAGTAGATGAATTCAATCATCCATTCATCTACTTATTCCAGTGTTGCACACTATGTACCCGTAAGGTTAAATCTGTTCCTTTATAGAAGCCCCTAAATTCAGTGTGAGCACATCTACACAGACAGCATCATAAAAATCAAGAAGGTATCAAAACTAGTCTGGGTTAAAGTTATTTGGAACCATCAATCAGGGTTAGGTTATTTTTTTAAAAAATGCCAAGTATGAATATCACAAAGGACACTGTCAAGTCTATTATTGCAAAATAGAAATATATAGTGCAACAATGACTCTGACCAGAGAAAGCTGTCCAGGCACAGATAGCATCCATGATGAAGAACTTTTCCTTATTCTTTTTGAGGTAATCATTCCCATTGGAGTAACATTAATTAAACCCTTTTCTTGTTTATTATTATTATTATTATTATTATTAACTTTATTTGTACTCCGCTAACATCTCCCGAAAGACTCGGTGCGGCTTACAAAGGCCAAGGCCCTCAATAAAACAACAGTATAACAAAAACAACAATAAAACTCAAAAAGCAAACCAATAAACATTAAAGCAATAACAGTAAACATTAAACAATAACATCATGACACATTTAAAAACTAAGGGCCGGGCCAAATGTAATGAATAAGATTAAAAGTGCTGGACATGACAGGTGAAATGTAGGGATTTTAGAGTAGGTGCGATGTGCAGACAATCTTAAATCTCTAATAAAGTGTGTTTGGGACATGATGCTGGGAGTTTCCTATTCTGGAAAGGCACACTGGAACAGCCAGGTCTTCAAGCTCTTCCTAAAGACTGCCAACGTTGGGGCTTGTCTGATGTCCTTGGGGAGAGAGTTCCAGAGTCGGGGGGCTACCACAGAGAAGGCCCTGTCCCTCGTCCCCACCATACGCGCTTGCGACGCAGGTGGAATCGTGAGCAGGGCCTCTCCAGATGGCACAGCTGGTTAAACCACTAAGCTGCTCAACTTGCTGACCAAAATGTTGGCGTTTCAAATCTGGGGCGCAGGTTAGCTACAGCTTCTACCAACCTAGCAGTTTGAAAACATGCAAAAGTGAGTAGATCAAAAGGTACCGCTTCATCAGGAAGGTAATGGTACTCCATGCAGTCATGCCGGCCATGTCACCGAGGAGGTGTAAGCAGACAACGCCAGTTCTTTGGCTTAGAGTGCCACCCCCCAGAGTCAGACTTAACAAGACTTAATGTCAGTGTTTCAGTAGTATCTATATTAAAGCAATTTCCTTAACACTGCAGTTAATGTTACCAATGTCAAATTTACTGATGCTGATAAACATCACTACAGACACTTCCATTAAGTTTTTACTTATTTTTTATTTCTCTATTAAAAGCCTGTAAGTTAATACTACACAAAACCAACATACATATTCTGAAGTAAAGGTTTACCCTTGACATTAAGTCTAGTTGTGTCCGACTCTGGGTGTTGGTGCTCATCTCCATTTCTAAGTTGTAGAGCCGGCATTGTCCGCAGATGCCTCCAAGATCATGTGGCCAGCATGACTGCATGGAGCGCCGTTACCTTCCCGCATAAGCAGTACCTATTGATCTTCTCAGATTTGCATGTTTTCGAACTGATAGGTTGGAAGAAGCTAGGGTTAACAGAAGGAGCTCACCCCGTTCCCCAGATTCGAACCACCGACCTTTCGGTCAGCAACTTCAGAAGCATTATATAAAAGTGGGAAATGCTATACAAGGGAAAGAGTAAAAGACATTATTGGGGGGGGGGGGGGAGAACACCCATTCAGAAAACACTTGAGCTTCTGTTTTGTTTACAGCTTGCCATGAAGGACACAGAAGAACAAATTTGTTGTTCATTTGATCATTCGTTTCTGACTCTTCGTGACCTCATGGACCAGCCCATGCCAGAGCTCCCAGTCGGCTGTCACCTCCCCCAGCTCCTTCAGAGTCAAGCCAGTCACTTCAAGGATGCCATCCATCCATCTTGCCCTTGGTCGGCCCCTCTTCCTTTGTCCTTCCATTTTCCCCAGCATCATTGTCTTCTCTAAGCTTTCCTGTCTCTTCATGATCTGGCCAAAGTACTTCAACTTTGTCCCGAATATCCTTCCCTCCAATGAGCAGTCGGGCTTTATTTCCTGAAGTATGGACTGATTGGGTCTTCTCGCAGTCCAAGGCACTCTCAGAACTTTCCTCCAGCACCACAGTTCAAGAGCATCTATCTTCCTTTGCTCAGCCTTCCCTATGGTCCAGCTCTCACAGCCATAGGTTACTACGGGGAATAGAATCATAGAATCAAAGAGTTGGAAGAGACCTCATGGGCCATCCAGTCCAACCCCCTCCCAAGAAGCAGGAATATTGCATTCAAATCACCCCTGACAGATAGCCATCCAGCCTCTGTTTAAAATACCATTGCTTTGACTATGCGGATCTTTGTTGCCAGGGTGATGTCTCTACTCTTCACTATTTTATCGAGATTGGACATTGCTCTCCTCCCAAGAAGTAAGCGTCTCCTGATTTCCTGGCTCCAGTCTGCATCTGCAGTAATCTTCACACCTAGGAATACAAAGTGTGTCACGGACTCCATGTTGTCTCCCTCTATTTCCCAGTTGTCAATCAGTCTTGTTGCCAGTCTTGGTTTTTTCATGTTTAACTGCAACCCAGCTTTTGCGCTTTCTTTCACCTTGATTAGAAGGGTCCTCAGCTCCTCCTCGCTTTCAGCCATCAAAGTGGTGTCATCTGCATATTTAAGGTTGTTAATGTTTCTTCCAGCAATTTTCACACCAGCCTTGCATTTGTCAAGCCCCACACATCGCATGATGTGTTTCGCATACAAGTTGAATAGGTTGGGTGGGAGTATACAACCCTGCCGTACACCTTTCCCAATCTTGAGCCAGTCTGTTGTTCCATGGTCAGTTCTTACTGTTGCTACTTGGTCCTTATACAGATTCCTCAGGAGAGAAACAAGGTGATTTGGTATCCCCATACCACCAAGAACTTTATTTTTATTATGATCCACACAGTCAAAGGCTTTAGAATAGTCAATAAAACAGAAATAGATGTTTTTCTGAAACTCCCTGCCTTCCTCCATTATCCAGCGGATATTGGCAATTTGGTCTCTCGTTCCTCTGCCTTTTCTAAACCCAGCTTGTACATCTGGCAGCTCTCGCTCCATGTATTGCTGGAGTCTTCCTTGCAGGATCTTGAGCATTACCTTACTGGTATGAGAAACAAATAGGGAGCATTTTTTAAGCACAAGGCGAAAATTTAGCAGGCATAGACCCCTGGTGGAGAAGCTAAACAACTAAGCAATTTGACTGCATCTATATATACAGAATCATAGAATTGGAAGAAACCATAGGGGCCATCCAGTCCAACCCCATTCTGCCGTGCAGGAAAAGTGCAATCAAATGACCCCCAAAGAAGGAGCCTCCACCACACTCCATGACAGTGAATTCTACAGTTATTATGGTCTTCCTAATATTCAGGTGGAATCTCTTTTCCTGTCATTTGACTCATTGCTCCAAGTCCTATTCTCCAAGGTATCAGAAAACAAGGCTGCTCCCTCTTCCTTATGACATCCTTTCAAATGTTTAAACATGGCTATCATATGTCTCATTTCTGCAGGCTAGAAATAGAAAACAGAATGAAGCACAGTGTGTTCCAGGATGGGGAGATTTGTAGGGATACCAAGATGCTTGTTTATAAAGTGGCCTTTTTATATGATAACTAGCTGTCCCCTGCCACGCGTTGCTGTGGCCCAGTCTGCTGATCTAGAAAATAATGCAATGAGAAAATGTTGGTGTCTAATATATGTAATTTCTTTATGCTTGTGAGTAAACAGTATTTCTTGTTTCTTTGTCAGTGTTGATGTGGAGATTATCTGATTTGCCTATTCTGCAACATGCAACATATAATTGTCCTTCTTTAGGGGTCCCTTTCAAATCTATAATAATATGTTTGTGAATCATAGATATCTATCTATATCTATGGCTGGATGGCTTGTTAGCAGTAGGGCTTTGATTATGTTTTCTTGCCCTGGTGAAGGGAGTTGGACTGGATGGCCTTAAGTGTTTTCTGTTGGTCATGGGGGTTCTGTGTGGGAAGTTTGCCCCAATTCTGTCATTGGTTGGGTTCAGAATGCTCTTTGATTGTAGGTGAACTATAAATCCCAGTAACTACAACTTCCAAATGTCAAGGTCTATTCCCCCAAACTCCATCTGTGTTCATATTTGGGCATATGGAATATTCGTGCCAAGTTTGGTCCAGATCCATCATTGTATGAGTCCACAGTGGTCTCTGGATGTAGGTGAACTACAACTCCCAAACTCAAGGTCAATGCCCACCAAACCCTTCTCGTGTTTTCTGTTGGTCATGGGAGTCCTGTGTGCCACGTTTGGTTCAATTTCATCATTGGTGGAGTTCAGAATGCTCTTTGATTGTAGGTTAATTAAAAATCCCAGCAACTACAACTCCCAAATGACAAAATCAATTTTTTGAGTGATGGTCACTCCTTGAGTTAGTAGGTTTCTTGTGGCCAAATTTGGCGGCAATTTGTCCAGTGGTTTTTGAGTTCTGTTAATCCCACAAACGAACATTACATTTTTATTTATATAGATTCAGCAATACTCTGTATCGCTATGTCCTCAAAATGAATGCCGCCACACTGGAATAAGCCTTGTGTGTTTTTAAGTGGATTCTTTTTATGATGTTTCAATAAGCCATTTTCAGTCTCATTGACCTCAGAAAGAAGAATGCAACAAACAAAACAAACAGGGAAACAAATGCTAGGTCCTCTTTTGGAACTGGTATCAAAGTTCATTCTACCTCAAACACACATATACATAATTTTAAATTGCAATTAGAAAGGGACATACCTGAAAAATGTATGATGCTCAACACAGACCTTCCACAGTTTCTTAGCTGCCCGATAACTAGGAAGCTTGAATCCAATTGTACTTTCATATTGTTCATGCTAAAGAGAACAGAGATTAAGAATCAATCACAATAGGACAAAAGATGTTCACTAATTGATAACTTCTTGCTTGATTCAGCTAGTATCTATGGTATATACTAAAGCTATACATTGACCTCATAAGTAAATTGAGGGTGGGTTTAAAGTCAAGCTTATAGATTTTGATGTGACCCTGAATAAATTAAAGAACATTCCTCAGAAAGGGGAAAGCACTAATGCTGACTCAGGGAACCAGCCACCACCAGCACTGGCACACAGGCATTCAAAGGAGCCAGAAGCAGCAAGATGGTGGAGAAAGGAGAGGGAATGGGTGCTTCTTTTAGGACTAAGCTCTTGCCTTTCACTACTCTACTTGAAGAAGGGGATCGTTCCTTTTTTATATAACACTTTAGGAACAGTAATCACATTGACTCAGGTTGAATTTTTGAGTTGAATTTTTGACTAGAATCATTAAAATAATAGGAGCTTCTACCGGACTCCGAGGCAGAGAGTTCCACTGTTGAACAGCTCTCACAGTCAGAAAGTTCATCCTAATGTTCAGGTGAAATCTCCTTTCCTGTCATTCGAAGCCATTGCTCCAAGTCCTAGTCTCCAGAGCAGTAAAAAACATTTCTAATTTTTCCTTCTACACTTGTGCATGTCAAACTCCAGAAGGTAAGCATTTTACAAGAAAGTATAAACTGCTTCCTTCTCAGAAAAAGTCTCCAGGGAAGCAGAAAACAAGCTTGCTCCCTCCTCCCTGTGACTAACTCTCACATATTTATACATGGCTATCATATCTCCTCTCAGCCTTCTCTTCTTCAGGCTAAACACGCCCAGCTCCTTAATCCGCTCCTCATAGGGCTTGTTTTCCAGACCCTTGATCATTTTAGTCACCCTCCTCTGGACACATTCCAGAGAGATGTTATCACCTACAAAGCCCTAAACAGTTTGGGACCCACCTACCTTCGTGACTATATCTCCCTCCATGAACCATCTCGGGCCCTACAATCCTCTGGGGAGGCCCTGCTCTCGCCACTGCCAGTGTCACAAGCTCGTCTGGTAAGTACAAGGGAGAGAGCCTTTTCCACCATGGCCCCCCGACTCTGGAACTCATTGCCTGGAGAAATTAGGAAAGCCCCTTCTCTAGAAGTTTTTAAGAAGAACCTTAAAACCTGGCTCCTCCATTGCGCCTTTGATGAGTAGGTATACAATTTCACATGACTGTTTAGCTTAAAGTTCTGTCATTGGAGTAGACGTGTGTCCCCCACCCCTTTTGGGAAAGCTTGACTCCACAACCCCCGCCATAATGAGTACTACTCCGCATATTATCTGCTTCTCTCTTTTATCTTGTCTGAGTTTTTAATTAGTTTTAATTAGTTTGTTTTTAATAATTACATGCAGCCTGCCCATTGTCTTTGTGCCTGTGTCTATTGTAATTCTTATATTGTTATGCATTCATATGTTTTATGTAATTATGATGTTTATTGTTTGCGTTTTCGGTTGTGTTTTGATTTTCTTTATTGTAATTGTTGTTCGGGCCTGGCCCCATGTAAGCTGCTCCGAGTCCCCATTGGGGAGATGGTGGTGAGGTACAAATAAAGATTATTATTATTATTATTATTATTATTATTATTATTATTTTTCTATGATTCTATAAATCAGTAACTCCCTTACAGAACACTAAAGTGTAAGAGGGTTGCCCTTAAAATCAGAATCCTAGAGTTGGAAGAGACCTGTTGGGCCATCCAGTCCAACCCCCTTCTGCCAAAAAGCAGGAAAAGCATATTCAAAGCACCCCCGACAGATGTTCATCTAGCCTCTATTTCAAAGTCTCCACAGAAGGAGCCTCCACCACACTCCCTCCGGGGCAGAGAGAGTGAGTTCCACTGCTGAACAGCTCTCTCTCCCAGTTAGGAAGTTCTTCCTCATGTTCAGGTGAAATCTCCTTTCCTGTAGTTTGAAGCCATTGCTCGATTGCGTCCTAGTCTCCAGGGCAACAGAAAACAAACCTACTCCCTTCTCCCTATGACTTCCCCTCACCTCTTGATCCCTGGCCCTCAACATGTCTCGTCTCAGCCTTCTCTTCTGCAGGCTAAGGGTGCCCAGCTCTTTCAGCCACTCCTCATAGGGCTTGTTCTCCAGTCCCTTGATCCTTTGAGTCACCCTCCTCTGCACACATTCCAGCTTAGAGTCAACATCTCCCTTCAATTGTGGTGCCCAGAATTGGACCCTTGTCTTCTTATTACAGAAGCCAGGAAATAAATCATTACATGTAGCATCCCTTTATTATTTATCTTTTTCCAAGATAAATCCTATGTCTGTAAGGTTTTAGTTCCTTCAAGCCAAATCCTATCCTTTCTTATCAGCCTCCTCACCCGCACTGTGGCTGACATTTCCCACCCAAATGTGCTGATGTCCTGTCGTTTCAAGCTCTATTCCCAGCCTCTAACCCTAACCCTAACCCACCCTTTCCTCAGCACACGCTGCTAACTATTTTTCTTTGTGCTATTCTCTTTACACCTGCTTCTCTACCTTTCCTTTCTCACCATCTATGTCTGCCCCCAGGCAGAAAAAAGGAAATGCAAAAGATACAGAATGGGGGATGATGCCTGGCTCAATAGCAGGACGTGTGAAAAAGATCTTGGAGTCCTTGTGGGGAGGAAGGGGGACATGACCCAGGAATGTAATGCGGCAGCTCAAAAAGCCAATGGGATTTTGGCCTGCATCAATAGGAGTATAGTGTCTAAATCCAGGGAAGTCCTGCTCCCCATGCTCTATTCTGTTCTGCCTTGGTCAAACTACTTTACCTCAATTCACCCTGTATCTGATCACACCGAAACACAATCTAGTATTCCTTTATATTACTGCATTCTTATTTCTATACTAGCCATCCTCTGCCACGCGTTGCTGTGGCCCTGTCTGTGTATATATGTTTTGTGTGTGTATATGTGTATATATGTGTGTTTGTAGGTAAGAGCTGGCACAACCTGGGGATCACAACCAGATACAGTGAAGACATCTGCCCTTGCGCTGTGCTACTCTGCTGCTGAGTATGCATGCCCAGTGTGGAACACATCTCACCACACTAAAACAGTGGATGTGGCTCTTAATGAGACATGCCGCATTATCACGGGGTGTCTGCGCCCTACACCACTGGAGAAATTACACTACTTAGCCGCTATTGCACCACCTGACATCCGCCGGGAAGTAGCAGCCAATAGTCAAAGAACCAAGGTAGAGACATCTCCACCTCATCCCCTGTTTGGGTATCAGCCAGCATGTCAACGACTTAAATCTAGAAATAGTTTTCTAAGATCTACAGAGACACTCGCTGGAACACCTCAGCAAGCGAGAGTCCAAAAGTGGCAGGCTCAAACCCAGAACCTCAATCAATGGCTGATACCAAATGAGAAACTCCCCCCTGGGCACACAGAGGACTGGGTGACTTGGAAGGCGCTGAACAGACTGTGCTCTGGCACCACGAGATGCAGAGCCAACCTTCAGAAATGGGGCTACAAAGTGGAATCCTCGACATGCGAGTGTGGAGAGGAGCAAACTACTGACCACCTGCTGCAATGCACCCTGAGCCCTGCTACATGCACAATGGAGGACCTTCTTGCAGCAATACCAGAAGCACTCCAAGTGGCCAGATACTGGTCAAAGGACATTTAATCAACTACCAAACTCACAAATTTTGTATTTTGTCTGTTTGTTTGCATTGTTCTGTTAGAAATGTAATATAATTTGACTGGTTGTCCTGACATGACAAATAAATAAATGTGTTTTTGTGTTTATATATGTGGTTTTGCACATGTGTTGTAATGTGTTTTTAATTTTTTGGCTTTTTAAGTCTCTTCTGCTGCGTTTTTCTGTGTTTTTATGAGTGATGGTCACTTGTTGGTCTGATAGTTGTCTTGTGTCCAAATTTGGTGTCAATTCGTCCAGTGGTTTTGGGGTTATGCTAATCCCACAAACGAACATTACATTTTTATTTATATAGACTAGTCATCCCCTGCCATGCGTTGCTGTGGCCCTGTCTGTGTATACGTGCTTTGTGTGTACATATATTTGTGTATATTGTGATTTTATATTGTTTTAGGTGCCTATTTCGTACTGTTTTTTATTATTTTCATTATATTTTATTGATGTATTGTTTTATGCTGTATATTTGCTTTGTTGTGATTGTTGGGCTTGGCCTCGTGTAAGCAGTTCTGAGTCCTCTTGGGGAGATGGTGGTGGGGTAGAAATAGATTTATTTATTTATTTATTTATTTATTATGTATATATGTTTGTGTGTATATATTTGTGTATATTGCCTATATGTGTGATTGTGTGTATATATATGGTGTTGTGCATGCCTTGTAATGTATTTTATATATTTTTTGGTTTTTAAGTCCCTTCTGTTGTGTTTTTCAGTGTTTTTATGAGTGGTGGTCAAACGTTGGCCTGATTGGTGTATTATGCCCAATTTGGTGTCAATTCGTCCAGTGGTTTTTGAGTTATGTTAATACCACAAACGAACATTACATTTTTATTTATATAGATGGTCACTCGTTGGCCTGATAGGTACATTGTGTCCAAATTTGGTGTCAATTCGTCCAGTGGTTTTGGGGTTATGTTATTCCCACAAACGAACATTACATTTTTATTTATATAGATATATGAAAACAACTGAAGAGAGAAAAGTTATCTACCTGCTCTTGTGATGTGAATGGCTTTAAGAGAAGATGTGAGCCAGGAGCAGAAGGATAGGGACAGTGTGTTCTCCCAACAAAGCTTGTGTTACCTGATCCCTGGGAGCCTGTGCCTTTGTGAAACATGCAAGTCAGGGATTTCAATGGTGATGACTACATTGTGACAGTGGTTCCCACCATGGAGCATGATCCAAAAGGCCAACACCCTCCAGAACATCTATTTGTTAGTTGGCTGAACAGCAGCAGCACATGTTTCAGCAGCTGACAGTTTCAGGCACTAGAGCAAATCCAAAGAGAATTGCTGGAGCAAGTGGCAGCCATGTATCCTGTAAGAACGGACACCACATCTGGGGCTGTGCTTCACTGCCCACCTTTGATTAGGGTGAATTAGATAGGACCAAAGAATCATCCATAAACATCTTTGAGTATATTGCTATTGCACCTGACTGGCCTCAGGAAATCTGGTACAAAATAACAACAAGTCTCCAGGGTCTCATGAATTATATCCAAAAGATATAGAAGAAAGAAAAATAGAAATATAGATGAGGTAAAGGTTTCCCCTTGACATTAAGTCTAGTCGTGGCTGACTCTGGGGGTTGGTGCTCATCTCCATTTCTAAGCCGAAGAGCCAGCATTGTCCGTATATGCCTTCAAGGTCTAATAATACTAATACTACTACTACTACTACTACTACTACTACTAATAGTAATAATAATAATAATACCAAGGTCTAATAATACTAATACTACTACTACTACTACTAATAATAATATGACATTATAATTATATATTTATATTACATGTAATACTACTACTAATATTACAATATAATTGGTATAGTACAATATAGCAATATTTAAAACTGATATTGTGCTATGCTAATAATATAATTGTATGTATATATACCTTGTAAGCCGCTCTGAGTCCCCTTAGGGGTGAGAAGGGCAGAATAAATGTCGTAAATAAATAAATAAAGGTCATGTGGCCAGCAGGACTGTGTGGAGCGCCATTATAGATAGACAGACAGATACAAATTACTTTAAAATGCTTAAAATTAGGAGTACTATACTTGTATATTCCTGCAGGACAGGGGGTTGACTAGAGCGACATTGAGAAAACCTTCCAATTCTGTAATCTATAATGGAAAATGAACACTGCTGATAGTTTACCAACTACTGTATTATTAGGAATAAAACCTACCATGTATGTGACTGTGGGAACAGTACATTCTTTCCCAATACTTTTCAGAGACAAAAGAAAACTGAGAAGGAAATCTATGATTTTAAACTCTATGACTTTAAAGCCTACCTCACCAGGCCGGATCTTGATAAAAAAGCTGCTGCGCTTGTAAGAAATCTTCAATACTTTAGGCCAAGGAAAACGGTTGATTCGCAATTTATCTTTATAGACAAGGAGGCCACTGGAACAGACTCCCAAAGTGATATCCACACTTTCGAGGTCCTACAAAAAGAAAGCAGTTTCATTTCAAGCACCTATAAAGCTTTCTTTCAGCACAACCCTCCTGACCACATTTGACCTCTATGGAGCCACCTAAAAACACATAGATTGATTTAATGTTAACACAGTTTTACTTATTACCAGATTACACCCAAATGGGCTTAATATTTTACAGGCACTTTACAAAACCTATTCCTCCCCTTGACAATATCATCTGTTCTGATACTCATTTTGTTTAGAGATTATATTTAATACTAGCTGTCCCCTGCCACGCGTTGCTGTGGCCCAGTCTGTTGATCTGGAAAATAAAGTAATGAGAAAGTGTTGGTTTCTAATATATGCAATTTCTTTATGCTAGTGGGTAAACAGTATTTCTTGCTGTTTCTTTTTCAGTGTTGATGTGGAGAGTGTCTGGTTTGCCCACCCTGGAACATGCAACATATCATTGTCCTTCTCTAAGGGTCCCTTTCAAATCTATGATACTATATCTGTGTGTGTGAATCATATCTATCTGATTCTATGATTCTATCTATGGCCGGATGGTTCTTTGTCAGGAGGGCTTTGATTACGTTTTCTTGCCCTGATGAAGGGGGTTGGATTGGATGGCCTTAAGTATTTTCTGATGGTCATAGGGGTTCTGTGTGGGAAGTTTGCCCCGATTCTGTCGTTCATGGGGTTCAGAATGCTCTTTGATTGTAGGTGAACTGTGAATCCCAGTGACTACAACTCCCAAATGTCAAGGTCTATTTCCCCCAAACTCCATCTGTGTTCATATTGGGGCATATTGAGTGCTTGTGCCAAGTTTGGTCCAGATCCATCATTGTTGGAGTCCACAGTGCTCTCTGGATGTAGGTGAACTACAACTCCCAAACTCAAGGTCAATGCCCACCAAACCCTTCCAGTATTTTCTGTTGGTCATGGGAGTTCTGTGTGTCAAGTTTGGTTCAATTCCATCGTTGATGGAGTTCAGAATGCTGTTTGATTGTAGGTGAACTATAAATCCCAGCAACTACAACTCCCAAATGACAAAATCATAATGTTTTGCGTGATGGTCACTCCTTGTGTTGTGAGGCGCTTTGTTGACAAATTTGGTGTGATTTCGTTCATTGGTTCTTTTGTTTTTAAGGTACTCATTATGCACAGAGCATTTATATATAGATAGATATGGATGTATTAACACAATTCAATAAAAAAGTGCCTCATGAATATTTATTTACCAGACCTTGGAATTTTCCTTCGAGTTAATGCAAATTAATTCAATAATGTTAAAGGACATCCAGCTATTAAGAGGTGAAAGCAAAGGCCAAAGCTGCACAACATATATTATGGACTTAAGGGAGGCATAAATCAGGGGGAGCTAGACCTAGAAAAATAAGAAATGAAACTTGTAAACCTTGCTCTATATGAAGTGAGCAAGATAAAAGACACAAGAATGAGGTATTTTAAATCAGATAACTGCAGATTGTTTCACTAAGGAAATAGAAATCTAAGACATTGGCTCAGGAAAGATATAGCAAAAACCAAGGCTAGAACGAAAATACGCAATGAACCATATTGATGACACTCCAGAGAAAACCCATACAAATAGTCCAAAGTTTATGTTCTAACTATCCTTATCCTTTTATCCTTTACAATTTTAGCTTGTAAATCGCCTAGAGCATCTTGGATGGAGGGCGATTAATAAGTAATTAAATGATTATGATGAACTAGAGGCAGAAGAAAAAAACTTAAAGATACTATCCTGGAGCCCAGGAGGAAATTGATCCTACACCAAAACAGGACTTGTTACTCACAGGTAAATAAAATGCTAAAGTAGTAAACAGAGCAGAATCAAAGACTTGGTTTAGAACAGATAAAAGCAGCATTGATATTGCCTGATAGAAATCAAATACACTACATAATTGGAAGCAGACAACAAGCTCCACTCTTTCTATAAAAACAAAACCAAGAACAGATTGTGGCACAGACCATGAATGACTAACATAAAACTTAAGAATAAAATTAAAAAAGAATAGTAACTATTTTGATGAAATACAGGGAAGAACATCTCTATAGGATCTGTAGCCAAACACAGAAAGAGATCATCGATGAGCTGAATTAAACAATAAGTGTTCAACAGTAGATGAAACGTAGCGTGTTAGATGCAGCTCCTCTGCTTCACCACTGACAATGGCTGTCAGTGGTGTAACAATGTTGTAGTGCAACAATGGGAGAGACACAGGTTGCTGCAATTGATGTACCGATTGGTTATGATGTTCCATGTAGTAACACTTTCAACAAATTGCAGTTTTAGTTGTTATTTTATGGCTTGTTGCAGCAGGTTGGATTAAGTCACTGTAAATGGTTGCCCCATTTTTAGACATGAAATACATCCCATGTTGTATGCAATTATATTATTAGGATTTGAGTTGTAGCCATATTAGCCTATAAACCAGACAGGCTGAGAAACCCCTTGGGTTTCCCCCTGTATTCACTACCTCATAATCTTACCATTTATATGGAAGAACTGGATAAAGGTTGAAAAAATAAATATGAAAAGATTTCCTTCAACAAAAGGAAATATATGAGTATTATATGGTATTTCTTAATTTTTTTTACCTTGGCTTGATGAAGATCAACTCCATACATAGATAGCTTTTTGGCATTCTCAAGAAACTCAAGATCAGCTTGAGCTGGAGTCATAGATCTATAAAATAAAATGGAAAGGAGACAGTTGACCCCTGATTTACTTATCTTGCAATTTATTTTTAAATATTGGTTTCAGCTACTTATTAAGCCCAGTATCCATATTTCACAAAAGAACTATATGCCAAAAAAGAGGTTTTGAAAACCTTTATTTCTCTTATTTCTTCAATACTAGTTTTTTAGCACTATTATATTTATTATTTATTTGAATGTTTATTAAAATCTGGGGGTCCCTGGTGGCGCAGCAGGCTAAACCACTGAGCTGCTGAACTTGCTGGTTGAAAGGTCGGCGGTTCAAATCTGGGGAGCAGGGTGAGCTCCCACTCTTAGCCCCAGCTTCTGCCAACCTAGCAGTTTGAAAACATGCAAATGTGAGTAGATCAATAGATACCGCTTCTGCGGGAAGGTCATGCTGGTCACATGACCTAGGAGGTGTCTACGGACAATGCCAGCTCTTCAGCTTAGAAATGGAGATGAGCACCACCCCCCAGAGTCAGACATGACAGGACTTCAAGTCAAGGGGAAACCTTGCCTTTGACTATACCTTTACCTTGATTTTATTATAATCCAAACTCATTTTATGAAAGAGAATTTCCATTTGACATATAGACTCACAAATGAGAAATTAGATTGAAATAATGTGGGTAGGAACGCAAATCAGGAAGGAAAATGCTAGGGTTAACAAGCTCTGCATTCCTACATTCATCAACAGCTCGTTTGCATCTCAGTACCAGTTCCTGGGTCCACAGCAAGAGCTAAAATAATTTTTTTCAAGATGATGTTCCAATGGTATTTGACTCCTAAGAGGTTGGCTAAAATGAATAAAAACACATGCTGGAAAGGTATCAAAGAGGTAGGATTTTTTTCTGCACATGGTAGACCAACATTACAGTACAATAGTTTTGGAACTTTGTACAAAATCTACTGCAAAAAAAAATTAAAGTCATTATCCAATTATACCTAAACTATTTTAATAGGATTACAAAACAAACAAGTGACATCAATAAATGCAAAAATATTACAAGAATGTTAAGAATGCGTCAAGAATGTTATATGCAAAAAACTGGGAAAAGTCAAGAACACTAACAGCAGAAGAGTGGATTATAAAAAAAATAATTTGGCAGAAGTGGATAACTTAGTAATGACAATCAGTGGAAAAAATCAAAACTGGAAACTATTTCTAAATTTTATGAAAAAAAGAAAACGACGCACAATTATAGACTGAGGGATTCAAATAGGCTGAAGCAGAAGAAATGTAATGCAAGGAGATGGAGAAGATTCACAGGATTCACAAGACAGATCAGAAACATGTTAGAGACATTACTATCAGATTTGTAAGATTTCCGAAAAAAGTTCAATTATACCAAATTATGAGGAAGAAAAACAAATGGCTCGTATAGGAAAGGCACGTGATATCTTCTAGAATCTATCAGCTAAGTCAATAAAAATTGAATGGAGGCCCATGACAAAAGTACTCAGATAAGCAGGTTTGGGTAGAGATGGAGTTTCCCCTTCAAAATTATGGTACAGAGCAAAAGATGTGATGTTGGCAGCTGCTACAAGAGAATTGTTTAGACATTTTAACTTGTGGTTTTAGATTTATCATTGTACATATCTGGTTTTAGAAATGTGGGTTTTAATTGTTTTTATTTATAATATTAGGAGCTCTAACTTTGTTAGTTTTTTTTGTCGTGTCAGGAGTGACTTGAGAAACTGCAAGTCGCTTCTGGTGTGAGAGAATTGGCCGTCTGCAAGGACGTTGCCCAGGGGACGCCCGGATGTTCTGATGTTTTATCATCCTTATGGGAGGCTTCTCTCATGTCCCCGCATGATGAGCTGGAGCTGATAGAGGGAGCTCATCTGCGCTCTCCCCGGATTCGAACCTGCGACCTCTCGATCTTCAGTCCTGCTGGCACAAGGGTTTAACCCACTGCGCCACCGGGGGCTCACTTTGTAAGGTGAATAAATAACACCAGCAGCAGTAGAAACAGAATAATAATAAACAATATATTTCCTTTATATCCTGCTCTATCTCCCTGAGGGGACTCAAAGCAGATTTTAGAATACATATATGGCAAACATTCAGTGCCATTATACAATTAACAACAAAGACAGAGAGTACACAGAAAGAGACAAAGGCTTCCCCCTTTCCACCTCTGGCATCTGGAGGCTATGCTCAACTCTGGCCATGGGGAGGTGCTCTTGTTCCATTTTCCATGCCGTGGAGCCTGTTGTGTGTGGACACCATCCTGCTTGAATTACTGGCATGTCTGCATGGGCGCCTTTTACCTCCTCACCAAAGTGGTACCTATTGATCTACTCACATTATTGTTTTTGAACTGCTAGGTAAGCAGAAGCTAGGTGTGCTGGCACAGCTGTGCCAGGAGATTTGAATTTCTTTTTCTTGCACTGTTAGTTTGCATTAATTTATTTGTGCCTTGCATTTTGCAATTGGGTAGCTTTCCCCAGGTAGCAATCAAAGGGCCAACAACCTATCAATCATCATTAGAGCCTTTAGATCCACTCCTTTCTCCAGGTTTTGGAGGGAAAAGGGGACTTTTAGTTCAGTCTCCCAGTTTGGAGCCTTACAGCAGGACGTGTGGGCTTTCTCTGTCCCACCTGCAAAAAAGCTTCACTTCTTACAGCTTTGCTGGGGAAAAAGGAAAACCTCTACAGCTTTGCTGGGGAGTAAAGTTACAGTTCCACAGCTTTGCTGGGGGAATACAGCCAGCTTTGCTGAAAAATAAAGGAATGGTTCCACGACCTTCGTGGGGCAAATCTACAGGACACCAGCTTGGCAGATCTACAGCAACCATTGCCTGGTAAGGGACCACTCAGGCTATCCATAACACAGCTTGGAGCCGGGAGTTGGGGCCTCACACCAGCAGGGTAAAGAAAGATTGCCCAAGGAGGGGTCGGAAGGTTTCCCTAAAGAGGAAAGGAACAGTTTATCAAGCATTTGCCTGTCCCTTGTCAGCAGATCGAGAAAGCTACTAGTTTTTCAAGATTATAAAGCATTTAATTCATTTGTTCAAAGATTTAAGCCTTAATAAAGAACTTTATTTATTTATTTATTTATTTATTATTCAAACTTATATGCCGCCACTCCCCTGGGGCTCAGAGCGGCTTACAAGAACAGGCTAAAATCGAACACAATTTAAAAACACTTTAAAACAATTTAAAAACAATTTAAAAACTTTGTTGAACCTATTTTGAGCCTCTACACAACTTTGTGTTGGGAAACCTATGGGACCCCTTAGCTGAGACACCCCGGCATCCCGTAGGGCATACAGAAAATACGTCCTGTAAACAGACATTGTCATAGGCCCAGCGTGCGACAGCACACTAGGGTTAATGACAGATACTCAGGCTCGGGCTAATGGCGGGAGCTTTGAACTGCCAACCTTCTGGTTGGCAAGATTTTCTGCAGCTGGCAGTTTAACCTGCTGTGCTACAGACACAAGAGTGTTTGAAATCACTGAAGAGGATAAAGCATTGTTAGGACCAAGATAAGATGTATGATGAGCTTTCATATGGTCCTTTAAATCCAATCTGAACAGAAAACCATGTTGATTTCTGTCTTGAAATATGTTTTGCCTACTGAGTTATATATCCCTGGTAGACAAAGACATGTTTCATTGTCCTACTCCTTTCTAGTCAGGTCTACAACCAAAGTATAATTCAAAAAGTTTGAATGTATAAGTTATTCAACACAGATCTCATGGTATGAAACCACTCTTTCATCAACACCATCTATTCAGAAGCATGTCATAATCTGTTACAGAAAGAACTTCATCATATCATCTCTTGATGTTTTTCTGGGCAGCAGTATTAAGTATTACAATAAAATAAAATCACATCTCCCCTTTACATTGATGACTTACATTATATTACACAAAAGCTTGTAATAGTATGAGCTCTGTATACACACAGGGATATATTCCAGGATCCCATGTGGATTCTTAAAACTGTGGATAAGAGCAAATCTTATGTTTTCATGAGACCTGGGCTGGAATTGCACAGAATTGCACAGGAAGTCTTAGAGAGGCCTACAGACTTGGGGCAGAGCGAGGAACATTTTGGAGTATAAGTAAGTATATATTCATGCATACTAAATCTGTGAATAAGGGGGCCATGCTGTCTTTATAGCTAATAGACTGGACACTTACCTGTATGTTTTATGTAGCTCCATAACCTTGTCTTCCAGTTCCTTTGTCTGGTTTGGGGCCAGCTTGAATTCAGTGACATAATCTGCACTATGTAGATCTGAGTCATAGTCTCCTAGCTCAGACTGGATGGTGTAAGAACCCAGCAAAGCTAATGTAGCAAAAGAGCAAGGAAGTCGACCGCTGATTATGTCTTTTCTTAGTTGCAGACACAAATAATATCTAGAAGGATGAAAAAGGAGGTATTGTAATGCATAGTTCAAAACTTCAGTGAAAGCAGTGGTTGCCAGCCTGTGCTCTGCAGAGCCCAAATCCGAATGCTCTTCCCAAGGGCTCTGCAGCCACTCCAGAAAAATAAAATATATAAAAATGGAACAACACTAAATAATAAGAAACAAAAAGTAGAATCAAGATAAGAAAACTAGAAATTATATTCTGAACAGAATTTTGCCAAGTTGAATTTCACGCCTCCTCTAGCAGAGGACACTTGGTCATTCTGCTGCTACTAGCTCCAAAATAATTGTAGAGAGAGATGGACAGACGACAAAACTGAGCAGAGGCGCCGGCCTAATGCTAACATTCTGTTGCATGCCATGTTTTAATGGAACTGAATGTTCAAGGGATTTCTTGGAACTGAACTGCATATTCAAGAGGTTTATCGCTCATTCTTGACCCTTTGAGAATTCCTGGACTCCACTCAAAGCTTCTCCGAACTTAGCCCCATTATCAATAGAGGCTAGCTAGTCAATTTGGAGTCACTTTACAGTGAATTTTCATAGTGATAACATTGTGATTTCTTAGCAATTTTTGCGAGTTTTCTGTGCATTTGACCTCTTTGTGAGGTTGAGTTGTGTAGTTAGTAAATGTTCATTAATGGTAGCTTTTGTTCTACTCACATGTTTGAACCTCAAAATAATGTGATATATTTCTGGTAGAAAAAAATCTATATTATTGATGGACTCAGGTGATTTTATTGGTTTTCAAGTAGGTAAGTACTTGTCAAGGAGCCTCTGGTGGTGCAGCGGGAGTAAACTGCTGAGCTGTTGAACTTACTGACTAAAAGGTCGGTGGTTCAAATCCTGGGAACAAGGTGAGCTCCCGCTGTTAGCCCCATCTTCTGTCAATGTAGCAGTTCGAAAACATGCAGTAGATCAATAGGTATCACTCTGGTGGGAAGGTAATGGTGCTCCATGTAGTCATGCCTATGGCCACATGACCTTGGAGGCATCTATGGACAATGCTGGCACTTCGGCTTAGAAATAGAAATGGGCACCACCGCCCAGAGTCTGACCCGGCTACACTTAACGTCAAGGGGAAATCTTTACCTTTACCTAAGTACTTGTATTTTGTTATAATTTTTTATTTGGTTTATTCTGCATTCTGGGTTATGAAAGATAAAGTAAGTTATTCTCATATTCCTGTGTAATTTCCTTTTAGGCAGGGATCACTGGCTTCAAACAGGTACTTTGAAGAAAAAATATGTTTCTTTCCCCTCTTCCTCCCCCCATAACACTACTCCTTAAAAACCATTAACTTGTAAGATGTAGGGCAGACCTAAGGGGCTCCACTAAAAAAAAAATGATTCTAAAAAGGGCTATGCAGTCCAAAAGGTCTGGAACCACTGGGTTTAAAGCATCATTTTCTCTGTAAATACCTGGTATTGGCTGCGATTGCATCAAAAACCTTATGAGGGCCTTCTCTATGGTGGCCCCCCGACTCTGGAACTCTCTACCTAAAGATATCAGGCAAGCCCCCACTTTGGCAGTGTTTATGAGGAGCTTGAAAACGTGGCTGTTCCAGTGTGCCTTCCCTGAATGAAGGAAATAATGCCCGATCTGACCAATTTCCTTCTATACGTCCTCTGAAGCACTTTATCTATCCGTTGGATTGATCCCCCCATATCACTTTTGAAACACCCATGCCTAGACATACCCTACTCTGTACACGCCCAGGGTTTAAAATTTTTAATCTACATTTGGCCCTGCCATGATGTTTTTAAATCTTTTGTGTGTTATTGCTTATATGTTTAATTGTATTATTTATATTGTTTTATTTGCTTGCTTGTTTGTATTTGTATTTGACAGGCTTGGCCTCATGTAAGCCGCCCCGAGTCCCTTCGGGGAGATGGTGGCGGGGTATAAATAAAGTTGTTGTTGTTGTTATTATTATTATGATGATGATCAATAGAGGCAGCACACTCTGCCTAATCAAAAACTAATCTAAGATTATTATGTGGAATAACTCTTTGATTCACCCCCCCCCCAAAGTATAACAATATGAATATGAATCTACATTTTAGAAAATAGAAGCTGTGCTTTTCATTAAACTGTGTGCACTCAATAAACCTCTTCCCTTTGAACCTCATATCTTCCCACCCTCCAGAACATCATATAAAAACTGCCTTTGAAATAGTCCTAGTTTCAAAAATACCCTGTATAGTCCGGCATATAAGACGACTGGGCGTATAAGATGACCCCCAACTTTTCCAGTTAAAATATAGAGTTTGGGATATACTTGCCATATAAGACCAACCCTCTTCCAACACACACCAAATAGAAATGATAAAAGCATCAGATTTAATTTCAATATGGTAATTTTCCTATTACTGTACCTCCTTCTCTGCCTCTCTGATCTTGCACATGCGCACCTGCACTGCTTCACTGCAGTCTTCAGGAGAGAGATCTGAGAGGCAGAGGAGGAGGTATGGTAATAGGATACAAGGGCGGGCCAGACAGGTAAAAGAGGTGTGTTTTTCTGGTCCCTATCTATCTCTTTTTTCCATACCCCGGACGCCTGCAGCTTGCTCCGCCCTTCACTTACACCTTCCCGGTGAGGCGCCCTTTCACCTCCCCATCGGGACCACATTAAGTCCATGAATCCTGATGAATGGATTTTCTTCTACCATACTTGTACAGCATCACCCTTAATGCTTTCATACAGTCGCTGCATACAGCAGGGCCGCGGCCACTGCCATTTTTCAGCTCCCCCCACCATATGTGGTAACCACAGATTCTCCAATCCAGATTGGAAGTTTCAGCACCCGCTCTATAAGACGACTCCCAGCATATAAGACTACTCCCGCATATAAGACGACTTCCATGCATAAGGCAACTCCCATGCATAAGGCTACTCCAGCGTATAAGACGACTCCCGTGTATAAGATGACCCCTGACTTTTGAGAAGATTTTCTTGGGTTAAAAAGTAGTCTTATACGCCAGAATATACGGTAATTTGCCAAGTGTCATGGCAGCTGAAGGTTCCTTGGGCTTTCAAAACTAGCCACAAAGTTCTTTCAAACTCCAAAAGTATGCTTCTCTGAATATTACACAGAACACTGAAGGTGATAGATAAATAAGATCAAAACTAAGATCCAAAGAACTACATGAGTACCTCACATCTATCACATTTACAGGCTTCCCAAATAAAAGCATGATTTGATTGTTAGTGTTACAATTACAAACCTTGTTATATCCTCTGTCAGCTGAGCTGGATCTGGAGGATAAAACTTGACATTAAAGGTGAAATCCCAGGGGCCTCCTGCAATTAAGAACAGATTTGCTGTGAGTTTTTATTTTAGAGCAGGTGATGCCCTCCAGAAATCACTGAACCACAGCTTCTATAACCCCTTTTCATTGTTCATACTGGTTGTTGGTTCATGCAGCTTCGAGTCCTATAATGTTTGGAAGGTCCATCCAATCCTCCAACTTCTTTATACTGTAGTATCATTTGAAAGTAATATAAATTACAGCATGAAATTCTTGGTTATTTGGTTTATTAGACATTGGGTATCGCTTGCAGCCCATGATTTTTCCTAATACAAAAATGAGGACAATCACAAAGTAAAAATAGATACATGACTCTGTCATAAGAAGATTTTGTTCTAGAAAAGGACAGTATTAAGGCCAACTGCAGCTTGTCCTTACTATTTTCTGTTATAAAGGAACTCGATTGTGTTTGGTCTTTTATCTACATGCAATTAAAGCTTTGTATTATTCTTTAACACTACCTTTAACACTTGAACTCCTGAATATATTTTGTTCTGGAAATGCTAGCACGGAAAGATACCAAGAGCAATATTCAGGTTGTAAATGTCACTGCAGGGTCAAAGCAAGTGTGTACGTGCTTCCTCCATTGATTAGATTAAGGGAATCCTACCAGACCGATTAAGGAAAGCCTAAAACCCAGCAAAACCACGGAGGCATCATTACACTGGCCAATCTAGAAAGCTACTGCCAGAAGTGCTTGAGCTAAGCATTGAAAAATCTGAGTTCCTCTCAGAGCATGATGGGAGTCGACGTTTCTCTCTCTCTCTCTCTCTCTCTGTTTCTCAACCAATTACAGGCCTGGTTGTGTCCATGCTCTGACTGGCTGAGAATGGACACAACCAGGAACTACAATTCCCAGAACTCTCTCTTGGGTTAGTCTTGTTCTGAAACTTGGCAGGCCTGCAGTTGTAAATGGGGTCTAAAACTGAGGTAGGTTTCATTTATTTATTATTTATTTATTTACTACATTTATATACCGCTTTTCTCCCCCTAAGGGAACTCAAAGGGGTTTCCAACATTATAAAGACAATATTCAATGCCGTATAGACATGTGAAAACCAAAGGATAATAAGACTATAACATATAACTATATATTAACCTAACCAGATTAAAACATAAAACATTATGAACAAACATAATGCATAATTCATACAGATAGGCCTTAAAATGACTGAGTTTCCCATTGTAGCCAATGGGCCAAATCTTTGCCAAATGAAAACAGCAACACTCCTTCCGATTAGAGTAACTTCCTGGTAAACAGAATGAGGAGTTAGCCAAAAATGGATCCTGAAATGGCATGCTTTTTGGGCAAATTGCACACCGCTAGAAGAGAGACAAACCCAGAGGGTGCTCACCAATGCTTCCTCTTCATCCTGGAAAGAAGTGACAAGTGGAGTGCCGCAGGGTTCCGTCCTGGGCCCGGTCCTGTTCAACATCTTTATTAATGACTTAGATGAAGGGTTAGAAGGCATGATCATCAAGTTTGCAGATGACAGCAAATTGGGAAGGATAGCCAATACTCCAGAGGACAGGAGCAGGATTCAAAACGATCTTGACAGATTAGAGAGATGGGCCAAAACTAACAAAATGAAGTTCAACAATGACAAATGCAAGATACTCCACTTTGGCAGGAAAAACGAAATGCAAAGATACAGAATGGGGGACAATGCCTGGCTCGAGAGCAGTACGTGTGAAAAAGATCTTGGAGTCCTCGTGGACAACAAGTTAAACATGAGCCAACAATGTGATGTGGCGGCAAAAAAAGCCAATGGGATTTTGGCCTGCATCAATAGGAGCATAGTGTCTGCATCTGGGGAAGTAATGCTACCCCTCTATTCTGCTTTGGTTAGACCACACCTGGAATATTGTGTCCAAGTCTGGGCACCACAATTCAAGAGAGATATTGACAAGCTGGAATGTGTCCAGAGGAGGGCGACTAAAATGATCAAGGGTCTGGAGAACAAGCCCTATGAGGAGTGGCTTAAGGAGCTGGGCATGTTTAGTCTGAAGAAGAGAAGGCGGAGAGGAGATATGATAGCTATGTATAAATATGTGAGAGGAAGCCACAGGGAGGAGGGAGGAAGCTAGTTTTCTGCTTCCCTGGAGACTAGGACGCGAAACAATGGCTTCAAACAACAAGAAAGAAGATTCCATCTGAACATGAGGAAGAACTTCCTGACTGTGAGTTCAGCCGTGGAACTCTCTGCCCCGGAGTGTGGTGGAGGCTCCTTCTTTAGAAGCTTTTAAACAGAGGCTGGATGGCCATCTGTCAGGGGTGATTTGAATGCAATATTCCTGCTTCTTGGCAGGGGGTTGGACTGGATGGCCCATGAGGTCTCTTCCAACTCTTTGATTCTATGATTCTAGAGTGGTGAAAAGCGAGAACGTAGTCCATTCCAGAATATTGTAGACGAAGCACTATTCTGCTCACCAGATCACTGCCTCTGGCTTTGTGAATGCCACAAGAAATAGTGGTAGTGGTTCTCTGCTAACTTCAGCCCTCCCTCCAGGTGTTTTCAACTCCCACAATTCCTAACAGCCAAACACTATTTTCGCTACTCTTCTCAGAGAGAAGGGGTGACTTCTTTTTTGACAAAGAGTTAAGGTGTAGTCTGACATGGTAGTTGTTAGAGTGGCCCAGCAGTTCTGTGTTCTCAAATAATATGCTGTGTCCAGGTTGGTTCATCAGGTGGTCTGCTATGGCTGACTTCTCTTGTTGAATTAGTCTGCACAAAGAAGCCACTGAAATCCACAAGCATGTGGACAATTTCAACAGAAAAGAGGAAACCATGAAAATGAACAAAAATCTGGCTACTAATATTTAAAAAACTCTAAAATCATAACAGTAAATAAAGAGCACTACTCAAAAAAACAAGGGAATTCCAGACAAAATCAGCCAGGGCCAGCTAACACATCCAAAGAAAGGAGTCCCTCAGGCAGCAGCCAGCTAGACACTGAAGCTGTAAGGCCATTAAATGCTAATCAAGGTGGCCATTTGCAACATTCACACTTGCCTCCAGTAGACAAGAGTTCTTTCTCCCACCCTGGACATTCCACAGATATATAAAACCCACTTTCCTAGTCTCCAACAAACCTCCCAACCTCTGAGGATACCTGCCATAGATGTGGGCGAAACATTAGCTTCTGGAACATGGCCAGACAGCCCAGAAAACTCACAGCATCCCTATGGATAAGTTGACCCGAACTTCTAAATGTATACATGAATGTATAGAGTACATACTGAGTAAAATGTATGCTGATCCTTTCCACCACTCTTACATGAATGTCAGGAATGGCGAGTGTAAATATACCAAAGCCACAAAATAAACACCTTCAATTTTAAAGAAAAAAAAGAAAGAAAAGAAAGGCAAGGTACGTACCGTGAACCTGTCTTTTAATCTCTTTGGCAGCATCCATCCATATCTGTAAGAATATGGCAGCAATTATTCATTATTACATTTGTCAACTTTTGGGAAGAACATAAAAATGTATTGTCCTAAAATTAAAACAGCAACGGTGGATAATACTTGGAGTATTTTAGAGTGCAGTAAATATATTAAATATTTTTATTTAGAATAATGTGCTCCCAAGAGTGGAGCGTGATAGAAAAGAGGTGAGAACATTGAGATTATAATTAAGATAAAACGTATTCACATACATTGAAAGTGGGGGAACATTGTGAAATAGGTAAAGTATCGAAAAGTAGCCGGGGAAAGAAAAAGTTGAAAAGGAGAGAAAAGAAAAAAAAAAAAAAGAAAGAAAGAAAAACGGTTGGGGGATAGGAAAGAACACGTAGATGACCAAAGAGCTAGTCTCTAACAAGATAGTGTGCTTCCAGGCTCTCCAGGTCCAAGTTTTGTTCTTCTTATCCAAGACTGATTGTCTTTCTGTCTTCTCCTTTATAGGAACGACAGTCCTCTTGTTCTTATTTTTATTATCTATTTTTATTTTCTTCTTATAAAATATATATATGTATTTTAATTTATATTATTATTTATTATTATATTCTTATTCGCTCTGTTGTATTCTTAGAATATTTATTTCCTTATTCTCCTGTTCAAGGAAGTTTAGAAATTTGTCCCAATTTGTATCTTTTGTTTTAGTTATATTTTGTGACAACCTTTGAGTTAATAAGTCCATATTCATGATCTCTAAGGTTTTGACCATCCACTGCTCTATCGTGGGTGTTTCTTTATCTTTCCAGAATTGAGCTAATTTTATTCTTGCTGCTGTTACTATATAAAAGAATATTTTACTTGTATTGCTGTCCATGTCAAAATCTGTGATGCCCAATAAAAAATATTCCGGCTTAAAGTCAAATTCGATTTGTAAGATTAATTCTGTTTTTTTATAGATCTTATGCCAGAAAGTTTTGACTTTTTTGCATTTCCACCACATGTGGATAAAGTCTCCTCTTTGTTTACCACATTTCCAACATTTTCCTTCTTTCCTTCCTTTGTTAAATTTTGCTATTTGTACTGGGGTTAGATACCACCTGTGAAAGAGTTTTAGCCAGTTTTCTTTAAGTTCGGTAGAATATGTAAATTTCAACTTCCTTAGCCATATTTCTTCCCACTCTGAGAAACTGATTGTGCGGCCTATATCTTCGGCCCATTTTATCATTGATTCCTTCACCTGTTCCCCTTCCGTTGACCATCTTAACAAGTGTTGGTATAGTTTTTTAATTAGTTTTATTTCTGTTTTCATTATCTTATCCCAGAAAACTTCTTCTGGTTCAAAGCCCACTTTTTTGTCTTTTTCAAAGTTCTCTCTGATTTGGTAGTAATTAAACCACGAGATGGTCGAGTCTGTTTGATTTAGTTCCTCTTGGGATTTTAGAGTAATGTTCTGTCCTCTTCTTTTTATTACTTGTCTATATGTGAGCCAATTTTCTCTTGGGATCTCTCTTCTATGGTCTGTCTCACTTGGTGAAATCAGAGGGGAGTCTTATTATGCAATATTCCTGCTTCTTGGCAGGGGGTTGGACTGGATGGCCCATGAGGTCTCTTCCAACTCTTTGATTCTATGATTCTATGAATCTATCTTTGTATTTGTTCCATATCCAAAGAAGCGCGGATCTGATATAATGGTTATTAAAATTTCTTTCTGTTTTGGCTTTCCCTCTCCACAAATATTTGTGCCAGTCCTGAGTAAGGTCATTGCCTTCTAATGCTAACAGCTTCTTTTTTTTTCCAGTGTTGCCCAATCCCTTACCCAGCTAAGGGCTGCTGAGTGCAGTAAATTTAAAACACATTATGAACAAACTGAAATACCATCATATAAATGATTAATTGAACAATTAAAATTAGGTCTTACATTTATTATCACACTATATCATCAATGTTGTTTTTGCATTCAAATGTGTCTTTTAAAGAAGTGTATACCACTAACTGAGATTATAACAGATGGGGAGGATTTAATCATTTATTTTTTATCCTACAATCAAAACAAAATTATTTCTCTGAAAATACAATTAGATTAAAATTTCACATCAGTACTCTCCCAAAACAAATCCATATCAGAAAAAGGAATTTGGAAAACATATCCAATGAAAGATAAACCCCTCATGCCTGAGCCCACAGATACATGAAGACAAGGTTAAATCCTTGCAATAATAAAAATTAATTAATTAATTAATTAATAATAAAACTTTATTTATATACCGCTCTCTCTCTCCAAGGGGACTCAGAGCGGTTCCCAGGTAACATCACAAAACATACAAAGTAAAACAACATAACCATAAGATTAACAAAACAATATAAGCATAAAAATTGCTGCTAAAACACACATATGTTAAAAGTAATCCTGCCTATTCAAGGCAATTAAAAAATTTAAAAGGCCAGGCCAAGATTTGTGCAAGCCCAAAAATTCTAGTGGGTCCGGGAATTAAGTGAAATGCTATGGCAGGCAACAATAATATTAGGTACGGGTCTGTGGCTGTTCATTCCAGGGCCGATTAGAGGAAAGAATCTGGGGAAGTGGTAGGAAGAATAGGCCATATTCGACAATGTGTAAGACTGAGTTAGACCTGGTCATTTTCAAAGGCTTGTTGAAACCGGCAGGTCTTCAAGCTCTTACAAAAGTAGGGGAGGGATGGGGCCTGTCTTAAAGCTAATGTATGTCAGAAAATCAATACTTGAAAACATATAAACACATTTAGTTGACAAAAAAAATTGCAAACGTGTTAAAAGTGATTGGGCAGCATAACTCACTATAGGTTCAGTTCTGTAGTTCTCTAGTGTTTACCATATCATATGATCAAAGCCAATATCAACTGTGTTGCTCTTGCAGCTTCAAGTGTTCATCTAATCTAAGTACAGCCCTGACTACTTTTCTTGCAATTAATATATGCATCTAAAATAGAAATAAAAGCAGTTTTCAACATAATAATGGAAAAAATTGATGCCATACATACATGTGAAAACCAAAACATAAGACTCAGAGTTAGAAACTCTGAATAGCTTTGAATAGCATAAGGAATGGTTAACACCCCTGTGGTGTTTGTTTTGCTGTCTGTGCCCCTTTTAAGAAGATTTCACCTCACTTTCTGTCCCTGTGATTTTGAAAAAAATGGTTTGTTGTGGAAACAAAAATGAGTGATAAAGTTTCAGTTGAGACACCTTTTCCCCATGATAATAATTCCAGATTTCCCTTCCAAGGGGTAAATTTCTCTCACTTCCTGTTGTCTCATCCCTGTTCCTAACTGAGTCTTTTTAAAATCAAACGTTTGTAACTCTAGGACTGCCTGTATATGCTTCCATTTGTTATTTCAATTCCTACCCTTGAACTCACTTTTAGTGGAAGCAACAACACTAAATTATAGAGAAACTGAAAAAAAGGAAACAAGAAATCCACTTTAAAAAACAATGTACATACTTGTTTACAGTTTAGACATATATGTAATCAGAGAGATGTATGATGTATAGTTTGATATGTAATTGTTGATAGGTATGCCTGTTTTGTGTATGGAAAAATATTTGTATTGTTTTTATTTGTGTTATTTTCTGTTAAAAATCAAAATATTGGAAAAAGTGATTTTGTTTGTTTCATCCTAGTTACTATATGTTAAGGACACTAAGGAAGAGATAAACAGAATTCAAAATATGAACAGGTTTGCAGCTTAACTCTAAAAAGAGCTTTGGTGGTCACATCAGTCATACAAATCTGACAAACCTACATATTCTAACGATGTAAATGTATAAAAGGGCTAGAAAGAGGTTACCTGCTTTTCTCCCCACACAACTGTGACTTGGAAAACAGGTCTGCTGAGGTGAAAGAATAGCCTATTTATCCCACTAAACCTCTTAATCTCTTCTTTCTCAGCCTACACAACATTTTGTTCTATGTGTTATTAGCATATCTATACTTAGGTTTAATAGGAAGTGCTTTAAAAGTGTGCCTGCCTACTAAGAACAGGTTGCTTACAAGAAAATGGCATTAACTGAATGGTCGTCTGTGAATTCACACAAATGGTCGTCTGAGCATGTACAGAGCATCATTCAGAACTGTCTGTAACTGTTATATAAGCTCTTGGGCAGTAGTCCTATCCACTCTAACCACCACTATATAATGCTCTTCCTGCCTAGGTTTTCAGCTCTATGGCCACCAATGCAAGGCAATGGACTAATAATAATAATAATAATAATAATAATAATAATAACACTTTATTTGTACCCCGCTACCATCTCCCCAAGGGACTCGGTGCGGCTTACATGAGGCCGAGCCCGAACACAACAATACAAGCAATAATCACAACAATACAAGCAATTAAAATAAGAACATAGACAATAAACATATAACATTATCAATAAGACAACATACAATTAAAACTGTGGGAAGGCCAAATGTAAAATTAAAATTGGAAATAGTGCTGAAACATGGACGAAAAAGTGATAGTGGCGTTTGTGGAAAGACATACGAGCAGACCTAAAGCATGTAAAGTGCTTTAGAGGGACAAAGTGCTATGGAATCATTATTCCGGGAAGGCACACTGGAACAACCACGTCTTCAAGCTCCTCCTGAAGACTGCCAGGGTTGGGGCCTGCCTGATGTCCTTAGGGAGTGAGTTCCAGAGTCGAGGGGCCACCACCGAAAAGGCCCTCTCTCTCGTCCCCACCAAGGACAGGTAAGACCCGTATGAGGAAAGGATGGGTGAGTGAGTTGACAGATGACCACTAAAAGAACCACAGTCACTGGTGAGCAACCTATTCTTCTTCATGGTCACTGTGATTCCCACATATCGGAAACTAGAAAGCCACAAACCATAGCAAGAGGAAGTGTAGTTCCAGAGCAGGCAACACAACTCTCACATATATAACACATGAAGAATACAGTACAGCTCTCCCAAAGGCAGGATCATACCAGGATTTTGCATCTCTTCTGGAGTGGGAATTGAATGTCAAAGGCAGTAACCATGTAGATCGGGCATGGTCAAACTTCGGCCCTCCAGGTGTTTTTGACTTCCACAAAGAGGGCTGAAGTTTACCCATGCCTGATGAAGATGCTCTGCAGAGTAAGGCTTCTTAAAACTTTTTCCACTGGCAACTTTTTTCTGCCTGTGAAATATTTGTGTGACCCCCCAAGTATATAAAACATGTATAAAAAATCAAACATTTGCTAATAATAAATCAGTATTTGTACAGATTGCTAAACAGGCTGATTTTCCTTTTTGTAGAGTACAGCTGAGGCATTTTCTGCACAGCCTACTATGAATACTGCATGTTGTTTCTAACCGATCTGTGTAAATGGGTGATCAGAAACCTTCTCCTGTTGCCAAATTCTCCATGACCCCAACATTGAGCAAAGGGGACCTTATTTGGAGAGGGGACCTAGCATTTAAGAAGCAGTTCTACAGAGCAAGGTTGGAACAACAGGAAGGCTAACATTCTGTATGTTGTGCTAAGTACTACCTGTATTGACGAGTTTCCTGAAACAATTGTATTTGTATTTGATAAATGTTTTCATTTATGTTTATTTAGGTCTTATTGTATATATGGTTTTATAGATTACTGTTATATGTATGCTAGATTTGTATTTTTTTATAATGTTGTGAGCCACTTTGGGTCCCATTTAAGGAGAAAAGTGGGATATAAATAAAGATGATTTTTTATTATTATTTTACTGACACAAAAACACAGCATGTCATAGAAAACGAGATATATATGCTGGATTTCATATCACAAATTCAGAAGTCGAACATTTCCCAAGTGTCTAGGACTGTGTGATATATTTTGCAGTTGAAGATCGTGATTTTGTCAATGTTTATTGTTTCCAAATGCCGACTGAGATCTTTTGGCACGGCACCCTGTGTGCCAGTCACCACTGGGACTACCTGTACTGGTTTATGCCAGAGCATTTGCAGTTCAATTTTGAGGTCCTGTTTTTCTTCAATGCGACTGTCACCAGGTATGGCGACATCAATAATCCAAACTTTTCTATTTTCCACAATCATGATGTCTGGCATATTGTGTTCCAAAACTTTGTCAGTCTGGATTTGAAAGTCCCACAGTATTTTTGCGTGTTCATTTTCTACTACTACTAGGTTTATGATCCCATCAATTCTTTACTACTGGCAGGTGGTACTTATGACATAATATATTACTATATGATGATGATGATGATGATGATGATGATGAAGCAGCAGCAGCTGTGGGTCACAAACACATTTGGAGTCCCCTAAATTAATGTGGGGATTGCAAAAAATTTGCATAGCTTGCCACCTAGTGGCTATTTTAGACATTTACACAAATCTGTTAGAACAACATGCAGCAAATCCTTCAGCTTACTTCGTTTAAAAACTGAATGGGATTGAAGTTAGGCTGGTCCAGGAAAAAGAGATGGATCACCGCTGCTCCCAGCCGGCCTGGAACTCCTTGTTAGCTCCAGGTCCCCTCAGCTGCCCTGTTCTGACATCAACAGGGGCAGCCATGCAACCAGGAAGAAAGAGGGGAAAATGCTCCCCTCGTTCTTTCTGATTCTACAGGCACTTCTGCTGATGTCAGATTGGGGTTCCCATGACAGCCAGGAGCTCATACAGAGCTCTGAGTCCATCAACACACTTATGATCCATCACCTTTTCCTGGACCAGTCCAAATTTTTCAACAAAGGTTCTGACATAAGGAGGAATGTCAGACACCATTTTGAGAGCTATCCGCAGTACATCATAGTTTCAGTTGTGCCCAGTCAGTCTGGAGAAAACTACTACTTTTCTAAAATGTTAATATTGCAATATTGTTCAATCTGCACATTAAAAAACCTCCCTTAGTAAAAGCTTAAGCAGCCCTTTAAAAAGAATACAGCAACCGCATTTTGTGCATTCTTCTTACCTTGGAGGTTGGAGTATCCCATATGGCCAGTCCAAAGTAGTCTTCTTCCAAAAGATTGAGGTGATCACATACTTTCTTAAGGAGATCCTGCCCTTTGGCATGTTTCTGCACACAAATAACAATATGTGACATCTGATTCCCTTGCTTTCTGTATTTAAAGTTAAACACTAGAGCAAGCCTGCACGACTCTGCAGTAGAGTAAGGAGCCAAAATGAAAATAGGCTAAACCCCTTCAGGCCACAGATGGGTTTTTAGCACATCTAGCCCCCGGGCAGCATGTTGTGCAGGCCTGCACTAGAAGTATTTCATTCCACAGAACACAGTTTAACGTTGTAGACCTGCTAAGTCAGTGTTTCTCACTCAACCTCCCCTTAATCCAGTTCCTCATGTTGTGATGACCCCCAACCACAACATTATTTTCATTGCTAATTCATAAATGTGATTTTGTTACTATTATGAATCGTCATGTAAATATCTGATATGCAGGAGATATTTTCATTCAATGGACCAAATTTGGCACCAATACCCAATAAATCCAAATTTTAATACGGGGGGGGGGGGGAGAGATTGACCTTGAGTTTTGGAGTTGTAGTTCACCTCCATCCAGAGAGCACTGTGGACTCAAACAATGATAGATCTGGATCAAGCTTGGCACTAATACTCTATATACCCAAATGTGAACACTGGTGAAGTTTGGGGAAAACAGACCTTGACATTTGGGAGTTGTAGTTACTGGGATTTATAGTTCACCTACAATGAAAGAGCATTCTGAACCCCACTAACGATAGAATTGGGCCAAACTTCCCACACAAAACCCCCATGACCAACAGAAAATACTGTTTTTTTTTATGGTCTTTGGCAACCCCTTTGACATCCCCTCACAAACCCCCCAGGGGTCCTGACCCCCAGGTTGAGAAACGCTGTGCTAAGTATATTAAAAATGCTCATCATTTTATACAGATTCTTTCATTAAGATAGCCCCTCTTGGATGCTATTCCTCTAGAGAATGTTGAGGAAATTATTTCTATTTGAGAAAAACCCCAAGTATATTTGCTGTGATAATGCAAATCCTGGGGCAAAGGAGAAAAAAAACCTAAGCATAGGGAGAAGGTATTCCTGCCCCTGTAAATCTCCATCTCCACAGACCATTTGAGTGGCCCTGCAACTATCTTCCTCCCAAGACTCCTCCACTTCAAGCATTACATCTGGATTAGGAATTTGGTAGGAGGAGAAATATTAAAATCGATTAAACAGGGAAAGTTGGACAAGGAGAGGCCTAGGCATTGCTTCTTGTATCTTGTCAGTGTGTGCATATGAATGCGCAAACACACGCAGACAATATATAGATATCTGCCTTACAACAAAAAGAAACCTATTGTTTCCTCCATTAGATGCAATTCCACTTGAAAAGTCAACTTTCAACCTTGTCTGAGGAGCAGAGGGTCCCAGATATTCAGCCTGTATTTGTTTGGTGGGAAGTAAGAAATGATGTGGTGCAGAGGAAATACTTCAACAAACTGAATGAATTATTTACATAATTCATCTCAATTTCCCTGAAATTAGTTAACAGCAAAACTTGCCATTTCCCTTGGAATTCCTGAGATACAAATTAGAAATCAAGCTTTTCTTAAGCTGTCTTTAGACAAGAGTTGTTGGTTTTGTTTTCTTTTTTCAAATGTCGGCTCAACTGTCTGTTCCAGTAAAATTGCCCCCAATAGACTGATTCCAAAACAGTTTAAAGAGCTGATTTATGTTATTAGACCACTTACTACTCTGGTTATTAGCTGTTCTTCAGTATTTAAATCTGTGTCCCTATAATCAAAGATGTAAATATCTGCTCTAGTACTGAATGATGGCTCCTCTAATTAGGCCCTTATTTCAGGATGGGAAATTTTTCTGTAGAAGATATGGGGATCTACAAGATGTGTTTTTTAAGCCATTAGAAATATGACAAACTGTTGTTGAAGGCTTTCATGGCCAGAATCACTGGGTTGTTGTAGGTTTTTTCGGGCTATATGGCCATGTTCTAGAGGCATTCTCTCCTGACATTTCGCCTGCATCTATGGCAAGCATCCTCAGAGGTAGTGAGGTCCTCACTACCTCTGAGGATGCTTGCCATAGATGCAGGCGAAACGTCAGGAGAGAATGCCTCTAGAACATGGCCATATAGCCCGAAAAAACCTACAACAACCCAATGACAAACTATTGTTGTACTAGAAGGTACAATCCTAAATAACAATAATAGTATCATTACCATGTACAAATACAACTAGTCTAATTATGAAATATCATCTAATATAATTGTTTTAATACAGTAGTATTTCCATACTAATACCTTAAGTGCAATTTGCAACAAAATAGATACCACATAAAAACCAATATAGATATATCATAAACATACTGGGAAGATGAAAATCAGTTCCTCTAAAGTCAGACATGCATTCCTTGCTCCAGAAAGCAGTCACTATCTTTTGGCAATGAGGAGATTTTAACAGTAAACAAACTGCATATATTTAAGGGGCAGCAGTTTACCCAGATATGCAGTTACAGTGAAACTTTGTAAAGCTTAGGGCAGATCAAAACTATGTCCCAATTTCAGGTAAGCCATCTTTCCCTTCTCTCCCTGTCAGGAACAACAAGAGTCCTAAACTGAGGAGAGAAGATAATCTTACAAAAGGGACCTGATGTTTGCTTGTTTTAGAAACATATACTATACTTACATCCAAAGAACACTCAAAAAGTGTGTCATCCAATAAAGTAATTTTGCAATGCATGCTGTTTCTGGGTCTTCTTGTTGTTTTCTGCACACCTTTGACTCCTTTGTCAGCTTTCACCCTGGTGTTGCCTTTTTTTTCTTCTGTATTGGAGCACTTCACCTGTTCGTCGTCCTCCTTAGTTTCAAAATCTCTATTCTCTGGATCTTGATCTTCTCTCCTGTCTTCCTGAGCTGGCTGAAGTCAAAGAAAAAAAACAGCAAAATACTTTTTTAAAATAAATAAAAATATGTAACTTTACATATTCCACCCTATCTCCCCGAGGGGACTTTTGACAAAGAAAACATGGCCTGATAGCATTTAATAATCATAATGCTATATCTATATAAATATTGCTATGTGTTTGTTTTTTGTCATGCTTGAAAATGACATGGCTCATAGTAAGGGTAGTTGAGTCCCTTCAGGAAGATAGTACGGGCTATAAATTAAGTTTTTATTACTTATTTATTTATTAAACAAATGTAAATAGATATGAACCTGTATGGCATGGGAATCTGTCACTCCAATTCAAGGATTTGTTCTGAATGATATATTAGAATTTAATGTATACACTGTGTCATTCTGAGACCGAAAGGAATTTATCTTCAGTAAAACATGGAATGCAGTTTGTAGTCTTTCATTCTGAGGTTTAAGTCTAAAAATCTAAGAATGAATATTTCTGTTGCAACATTAGTCTATGTAAAATAATTTTTGCTAATTCTATAAGACAGGACAGGTTGCAAATAAATGACAATTTGAACCCATGAAATCCACTGACTGGTCATTAGCCGACTGCCTATATTCAATAATCATGGGCTATAGTCAACTATTCAGGTACGCCAAGATCATATATATATATACATTTATATTCTACCCTTCTCACCCCGAAGGGGACTCAGGGGCAGCATATATACAGCAAACATTCAATGCCGGGACACAAATTCACATACAATACATAAACATTAAAAAACATTTATCAAAATATTAAAATACACCATTTAAAACCGTCCTAGTAATCCGTGTAAAATCTAATTGGTCTGGTCATCTTTTCTACTGCCGCTTTATTGCCCTGTCCCGAAAGCTTGGTCCCACAGCCATGTTTTTACCATCCTTCTAAAGGACAGAAGGGAGGGGGGCGACCTGATCTCATGAGGAAGGGAGTTCCATAGCCGGGGAGCAATCACCAAGAAGGCCCTGTCTCTCATCCCCACCAATCGTGCCTGTGACAATGGCGGGACGGAAAGCAGGGCCTCCCCAGAGGATCTTAATCTCCGCGATGGTTCATAGGGAGAGATGTGTTCCCAAAGTGTTATTTGCATTAATGCATAGCATTATGTAATAATTCAACATCTAGGCTAAGAGCAAGGGTCCCCTAATCCTCACAACTTTAGAAATCTATCTACATGCGATCTTCACTGGGAGGATACATATCGGCTCAAAGTTATAACAATAATTGCATTTCCAAATGATTTAATTCATGGCCCACTGCACATGGCACACTTGTATTGAACAAGAACCCTTGCTATAGCACATACAATAGAAGAAACATTCTCAGAGGGAATCCCATGGTCAGTTGTATTAATGGAATGCTCCATGGTCAGTCGGTCAAGAGTACAAGGTCCAACAAATTCCTCGCTTCCCTTGCAGACAATTTCATGGTCCAGAAGGTAGAAGAGGCAACAAGGGGGTTGGCTACTCTTGATCTCATCCTAACAAATGCGGAGGACCTGATCGATGCGGTTGAAGTGGTTGGATCCTTAGGGGCAAGTGACCATGTGCTCCTGCAATTTGAGGTACAAAGGAAGACTGAAACTAAGCCAAGTCAAACCCGCATTTTGGACTTTAGGAGAGCTGATTTCCGAAAAATGAAGGAAACACTGAGCAGCATTCCGTGGACAAAGATACTAAAAGACAAGGGAGTTACGGATGGATGGGAATTTCTCAAGAGTGAAATACTCAAGGCGCAATTGCAAACCGTGCCAACAAAGAGAAAAAATAGGACAAGTTCAAAGAAGCCAGAATGGATGTCCAAAGAACTTCTAACTGTGCTAAGACACAAAAGAGACATGCACAAGAAGTGGAAAAAGGGAGAAATCACCAAAGAAGAATTCAAACAAATAGCCAACACCTGTAGGGAAAAGGTCTGCAAGGCTAAAGCACAAAACGAGCTCAGGCTTGCCAGGGACATTAAAAACAATAAAAAAAGGCAAGATTCTGGAAAAGATTGTTAAGGAAGTGGTCTGCAAGCACTTAGAAACAAATGCGGTCATCGCTAATAGTCAACATGGATTTATCAAAAACAAGTCATGCCAGACTAATCTGATCTCTTTTTTCGATAGAGTTGCAAGCTGAGTAGATGCGGGGAATGCAGTGGATGTAGCGTACCTGGATTTCAGTAAGGCCTTCGACAAGGTCCCCCATGACCTTCTGGCAAGGAAACTAGTCCAATGTGGGCTAGGCAAAACTACGGTGAGGTGGATCTGTAATTGGTTAAATGGACGAACCAGAGGGTGCTCACCAATGCTTCCTCTTCATCTTGGAAAGAAGTGATGAGCGGAGTGCCGCAGGGTTCCGTCCTGGGCCCGGTCCTGTTCAACATCTTTATTAATGACTTAGATGAAGGGCTAGAAGGCAGGATCATCAAGTTTGCAGACGACACCAAATTGGGAGGGATAGCCAATACTCCAGAGGACAGGAGCAGGATTCAAAACGATCTTGACAGATTAGAGAGATGGGCCAAAACTAACAAAATGAAGTTCAACAGGGACAAATGCATGATACTCCACTTAGGCAGAAAAAACTAAATGTAAAGATACAGAATGGGGGACAATGCCTGGCTCGAGAGCAGTACATGTGAAAAAGATCTTGGAGTCTCGTGGACAACAAGTTAAACATGAGCCAACAATGTGATGTGGCGGCAAAAAAAGCCAATGGGATTTTGGCCTGCATCAATAGGAGCATAGCGTCTAGATCTAGGGAAGTAATGCTACCCCTCTATTCTGCTTTGGTTAGACCACACCTGGAATATTGTGTCCAATTCTGGGCACCACAATTGAAGAGAGATATTGACAAGCTGGAATGTGTCCAGAGGAGGGCGACTAAAATGATCAAGGGTCTGGAGAACAAGCCCTATGAGAAGCGGCTTAAGAAGAAGAGAAGGCTGAGAGGAGATATAATAGCCATGTATAAATATATGAAAGGAAGCCACAGGGAGGAGGGAGCGAGCTTGTTTTCTGCTTCCCTGGAGACTAGGATGCAGAACAATGGCTTCAAACTACAAGAAAGGAGATTCCATCTGAACATTAGGAAGAACTTCCTGACTGTGAGAGCCGTTCAGCAGTGGAACTCTCTGCCCCGGAGTGTGGTGGAGGCTCCTTCTTTGGAAGCTTTTAAACAGAGACTGGATGGCCATCTGTCAGGGGTGATTTGAATGCAATATTCCTGCTTCTTGGCAGGGGGTTGGACTGGATGGCCCATGAGGTCTCTTCCAACTTTTGATTCTATGATTCTATAAAAAAAAAAGGCGTTCAGGGTGGATGGGAGTTTCTGAAAATTGAAGGCAAACATTTTAAGCAGTTCCAATGAGTAGAAAAAATAGCAGGTGTCCAAAGAAACCAAAATGAATATTTAGAAAACTTTCAGAAGAATTAAAATTTAAAAGGAGCATGCACAGAAAATGGGAAAAGGGAGAAATCACCAAAGAGAAATTGAAACAAACAGCCTGCATATATAGTGAGAAAGTTAGAAAAGCCAAAGCACAGGCTTTCTGCAGAAGTTAAAAACAAGAAAAATGACTTTTTTGTTATGTCCATTGTAAAAAGAAGAGCAAGGAAGTGTTAGGGCTGCTGGATACAGGTGATGTTGAAACATTACAGGGGACTGAAAAAAGGGAGAACTGCTCAGCACCTTCTTTGCCTCAATCTTCTCCAAAAGGTGAATAGAACTCAACTTGGGAAGGATGGAGCAGATAATGCAGTAGGGGAAATGAAGGATAGAATAGGTAAAGGAGCAATAGAGCAATATCTGGCTAATCTCACTGAACTCAATTCCCCAGACTCAGATGAATTACACCCAAAAGTATTAAAAGAACGGACGGAAATAATTTCAGAACCATTGGCAATCATCTTTGAGAATTTGTGTAGAACAGGAAGAGTTTTAAGAGACTGAAAGAAGGAAAATGTTGTCCTCATCTTCATAGGGAGATGACTCAAACAATTACTGCCCAGTCCTTACATCAATCTCAGGAAAGATTCAAGATCCAGGCATTAAACAGTTGACTAAAAGTCAACATAAGTTTCTCAAAAACAAGTCATGCCAGACAAACCCTGTCTCTTTTTATTTGAGAGAGTTACAAGTTTGGTAGATGAAGGGATTGCTGTGGGTGTAGCATATCTTGATTTCAGCAATGCTTTGACATTCTCACAAAGCCAATGATATTATCACAAGTAAAGTCTAGTAAAATGTGAGCTAGACAATACTACTGTTACGTGGATTGGGCATTGGTTAACTAGTCAAACCCAAAGAGTGCTTACCAATGGCTTCACTTCGTATTGGAGAGAAATGACCAGTGGGTTCTATCCTGGGCCCAGTGCTATTGAACATCTTTATTAATGATTTGGATGATAGAATAGAGGGCATGCTTATCAAATTTGCAAATGACACCAAATTGGAATGGACAATTAATCCCACAGAGGGCTGGAGCAGAATCCAAAATGACCTGAACAGATTAGACAGCTGGGCCAAAACAAACAAAATGCATTTAAACAGGGAGAAATGAACATTACTGCAGAAAAAAATGAAATACAGATACAGGATTTTTTTCGTGTCAGGAGCGACTTGAGAAACTGCAAGTCACTTCTGGTGTGAGAGAATTGGCTGTCTGCAAGGACACTGCCCAGGGGACGCCTGGATGTTTTACCATCCTTGTGGAAGGCTTCTCTCATGTCATGGGGAGCTGGAGTTGACAGAGAGAGCTCATCTGCACTCTCTGCGGATTCGAACCTCCAACCTGTCGATCTGTAGTCCTGCCAGCACAAGGGTTGCGCCACTGGGGGCTCCTGATATAGGATAGGATATATTTGGCTTGACAATAGGTCATGTTGACAATTCGGCCACGTTGTCCGAATGTCCGATCACCATCTCCCAAAGCAGTTGCTCTACTCCAAGCTGAAGAACGGAAAACGGAATGTTGTAGGACAGGAAAAGAGATTTAAAGATGGGCTCAAAGCCAACCTTAAAAACTGTGGCATAGACACCAAGAACTGGGACGCCCTGGCCCTTGAGTGCTCTAGCTGGAAGTCAGCTGTGAGCAGCAGTGCTGTAGAATTTGAAGAGGCACAAATAGAGGGCGAAAGAGAGAAACATGCCAAGGGGAAGGAGCGTCAAGCCAACCCTGACCGAGACTGCCTTCCACCTGGAAACCGATGCCCTCACTGCAGGAGAACATGCAAGTCAAGAATAGGGCTCCACAGTCACCTACGTACCCACCACCAGGACACCGAACTTGGGAGGACAATCTTACTCAGACAATGAGGGATCCCCTAAGTAAGGACATGTGAAAGAGATCTATGAATCTTAGTAAACCACAAGCTGAATATGTTATTCATGTGACTCGACAGCTTAAAAAGCCAATGCAATTGTAGGCTACTTCAATTGAAGTATTTTGTTTAGTGATCAAGGGAAGTAATAGTTCCACTCTATTCTGCTTTGGTCAGGCCTAGCCTGGAATACTGTGTCCAGTTCTGGGCGCCATAATTCAAGAAGGCTATTGACAAGCTAGAATAGGTCCAGAGAAGGGTGACCAAAATGGTGACAGGTCTAGAAGCCAGGCCCTATAAGGAACATCTGAGAGAACTGGATATGATTCATAGTTCAGCAATGGTAAAATGTGGACAGGCAGATGATATGGGGTCACTTTATCACTGGCAGATGTGGCACTAAGGGTTCAATCCAGAACAGCTCTGGGAAGCCCCCACTCAAGTAAACAGAAAACTAAGTCATATCATATTTACCTGTGTTTCTGCACTGCTAAGTGAGTGAAGATCTAAAGATGGGTCAGTTCTGAGCTCTGGCTCAGGAGCTGCAATTGGGGCTTTCAGTAGAATCTCTTCATTGAGATCAACATCAAGATCTGTCTCTTTCTGGTCTCCTTCACCATGTTCCTTTGCTTCCGTCTCGTTGTTTTCTTCCTCGGAGACCTGAGACTTGGGCCTCTTGAGGAATGATGAAAACAGCCGGGACAGACCTCGGCTTTCAGAAGTGCGCTCTTTGTTTTTGCTTTGGTCTTCTCGGGTGGGAGTGCCACTATCAGATGCTTTAGACTTCTTTTTTGATGGATTCTCACTCTCAGGTGCTTTCTCCAAGGAAGCTTCCTGTGTTCCACTCTTGGCAGCGACCTCCTCTTCTTTTGATGGCTGCTGCTTAGGAGTTTCAGCCTCTGCTGCTAAGTTCTTTTCAGTCGTCATGATAGTTCTGCAGACAGAAATAAAGAAGAAACTTCACTGATCAATTTCTACATGAGTACCTTGGCAACATCTCTCTCCAGAAGTGGCATTGTTCATCTATGACTTGTTCCTTATAAAAACTGTGTTCTGAAAGAGTGACATTTTTCTTTTGAAAAATCAGTACATGTAAAACTTTGTATACAATTTTAACATATTAGAACAGTATCATATAAACAAATTAAGCACCAGATCTTGGGTTATTTCTCAGAGATATCAGTGATAAAAAATAGGAATTCATGTTGTACCCAGCTCACTTTTTGTCTATACAATATTGTAACTATCTTAAAACAGAATACAAAATTAATATTTTTCAGGTGCTAACAGGCTCTCTAAAGCATCATAGATAATTATGTTGGAAAGAACAAGAGATCTATTGACACCACTTTAACTGTCATGGCTCAATGCTATGGATCAAGTAGTAAAGCGGTCAGTGTGGCCTTTTGGAGCATGCCTGCTCAACTATATTATCAATGCAATTGTTTTATTTCTTACTCTCTACTACTACTTACAGATGTTTGGGCAATTTTGATCTAAGGTCAATTCACTCCAAACCCTGTCGGTACTTAAAGTTGGTCACGCTGGGTATGTGTGCCAAGTTTGGTCCACATCTGTCACTGTCAGAGGTTACAGCTCTCTGGATGCAGGGTGAACTATAATTGCCAAAATCCAGGATCAATCCAACCCCCAACCCCTCCAATATTTTCTGCTGGTCATAGGGGCTCTGTGTGTCAAGTTCTCAGTGGGAGTCGCAGTGTTCTCCTGAAGTGGGAGCCATCTTGGAAAATACATTCAAACAAACATACATACCGCCCGAAAAACTTACAGCAACCCAAGCATACATACCAAGATGTATACATACATACATACTGCGAAGGAGGTCCGTTATTAAACTGCTGCCACCAACTGTGACGATGACCGTTTTAATGCCACCGAATACCACCAATTGTGAAGGTGCACGTGGTAAAGCACCCACTGCCACCTTATCTATGAGGGAAGCCGGGCAACGATCAATATCAGCCTAGGAACTATTTTATAAAGGGACTGTTTCTGGCTGACTTTATTATTGCAGGCTGTTCAACTTAGAAGAAACTGTATCAGGCAAGGCTTGAGGAAAAAGTAACAAGTTTATTTTAACAGGAGTATAACAATGTATAACTGTTCTTCAAAAGAGGCATAAATCTTGATGGTTACATTGGAAAGGTTTCATGAGTAAACTCAGGCAAACACTTCATAAGGTTTCACAGCTGGCACAACAGGCTTAAACCCAGCCAAACCTTGATTCTTAATTTAGAATCAACAACCCCCTGTACCGGGTCCTTCTCTGCAACCACTTTGGTCACCAATTGATTCACTGAATCTCTAAGAGATTCAGTTTTTCCCTATAGCACACTGGCTACAGACACATTCCCTGAATCTCCACCAAAAGATTCAGTGTTTTCTCAGTAGCTCTCCGGCCACTGACTGGATTTTTAAAACACAGCTGCCTCTGAAGAGGCGGTTGGCTCCGCCCCTGTTGCTATGGCAACTTAGCTAACATCAAGCCACTCCCACAAAACATAACCTCCCATACTTACCATCCCTAAACCATTGTCCAAACTACACATAACCAAAGGAATAAAATTTACACATCGTCACACCTCCCAACCCATAGGGATTATTTTTGACTTTTCTACCAACTAGAATGGTCAAAAATAATTTGGATAATACCAACATCATATAACTATATATAAACCATATTTGGTTCAGTTATTCAATATCATCCATGTATGCAATATCAAAGTCTCACATCTCCAACATTCCACCCATCTCCCTCGCAATATACTTGGCTAATTTCCCTGTGACTCTACTGACATACATTCTCAATATTTGTATATATATCAGTCCTATAATATCATTAAGTCCTTCAAAATCATGAGGAAGTCTGAACAATTTGAAGAGATTCAAGTCTCTATAGTCCATCACAGGTTGTTTACAATCAAGAATCTCTTGGTCCTCCACGAAGTTACCACGCTGTTGTAGGAAGTTTTCTCTTTTCTTTGTTGCTGGAGCTTCCTCTTTCAATCTGATCTTCCAATTGTCAGGAACAGTTCTGCTTTCATTGAGTTTTAAGGCTTGAATAAAGTCTTGTTTTAACATAGCATCAGGTCTTATTGAAGAATTTATAGTTCCTTGAACATCTTTTCTTGGTATTGAAGAGAATCTGCCATCGTTGGAAGAACAACCAAGAACATTGTCTTTCTCTATTGTAGTCTCATCACTGCTGTCTGGATGAACCTTCAAACCTTGGAAATGGAGATTTGTCTTTTTATCAAGACTAACATACTCAGTGTATATCACTTTTCTTAACAGTCCATCAGCTTGGTTTTTATCCTCTTCTTCCTCCGATATATGATGAGATCTTCTCTCTCTGCTTACTTTCTTTTCATCTGTAGGCATTTCGAAGTGTTCAGGTTTAGTAAGAAGAAGCTGATCCAATGTTTCATTCTCAGCAAAATGTCTCTCTTCCTTTTGATAAGTTTCATTTAGATTCTTAACTTTAATCACAGTTCCAATTTTCAAAACTTCTTTTGTGCGATCATCTGGAACCTCCATAGTGAATGAATCATGTTTAGAAGTTATCTTCACTTCAACTAGTCTTTCAGATGTGTGGATTTTTTCTTCACAGAAGACTTTTTGATATTTTGTACTCTCAACCATGTCTACTGCCAAAAAAATAGGTTCCTTAAGGTTTAGCTTTTCTTCAGCTTTCTCTTCTGATTGTATTTTATTGTCTTTGTCAATGAACTCGGCAGAGTTAATTTCCTTACTTGCAGCTGAAGTTAATATATCTTTGAAAGTCAACGATTCTTTCAGCTCTTTTTTCTCCTCAGAATTTATCACTTGTTCTGCAGGAACCACTATCTCTACATTCTCATCACTGGCTCCATCTGGGTGCTCATCATGTTTCTGAGGTACCACACTTTGGGTGTAAGAAACAGCTGGAGACTTGTGGTCTAAAACTTCCCTGTATAGAACTTCATTTTTGATTACAAATTGGTTTGGTTTCTCTGGGGTAACTCTGTCTTTTCGGTTTGAGTTATATCAAACAAGGTCTGGAGTGTGTTCTCAGCCTTTTGTTCTTTAGAAATTTCATTTTCTCCTTTCGTCCCTTGAACCAACTCAGTTACAATAGAGCTTGCTTCGGGTTTCTGTCCCAGAGGTTGACAGATGGGCAAACATGAAGTGTTTTGTACTCCAGTCTGTTCCACAGTCAGGTCCTTTCCCTCTTTAGGTAACTCTGATATTTTTTTAATTCTTCTGACCAGGTCATTTCCAATCAAGCATGAGTAAGGGATCTCTGAACTCATGGCAAAATCCCACATGCCTGTCCAATTGCCATATTTTATAGGTAAAGAGACCACGTTTGAAGTAATCGCTGGTCCTAAACCTTTTAAATTAATCTGAGAAGTAGGATTTTGATACTTCTCAGGTACCATCTTTGAATGAATTACACAGACTTCGGAACCCGTATCTCTCCATCCATGTAACAGGTTTCCATCTATTTCAATGGGTTCCAAATAGTCATTTGGGACTGTGTTTAGTACCACAAACAAACACTGTTTTTCAATCTGTTCCCCCTTTTGAACCACCTCAGTGCAATCCTTCTTAGCACTGGGTTCCATTTCTTTTCCAGGGGTATTTCTTTCTCTAATGAAGAAGGTGGACTTCTCTTTTCTCAGGAGATTACATTGGGACTTAAAATGTCCTAATTTTCCGCAATGGAAACAGCCCTTATTTCCCTCAGCACTGTTAGGCTGCATGGCGCCTGCCATCCTCCAGGCGGTGTTTTCTACTGAAAAGCCTCTCCCTGGCTGACTGTGAGGGGATTTTTTAAATGGCGGTTGGGATTGTCTTGTTTCCTTTTTGACTCCTTCTTCTTCTTTAAATCCTTCCTTTAAAGTAATCAACTGGTCCACCATGATAGCTGCTTGTGTTGAAGTTTCGGGGTTTCTATCCTGTATAATCCATTTATAATCAAGGGGGACCTGTTGATAAAACTGCTCCTTTTGAATTAAGTTTTTGAGCTGCTGGAAGTTATTTACCTCAGCGCCTTTGATCCAGCTCTCAAAGTATTGTGCTTGTTTGGAAGCTAATTGAGAATAACTCTCATATTTTTCTTTTTTGATCATCCTGAACTTCATCCTATAAAATTCAGGTGTCAGCTGCAATTTCTGTTGAACTTCTCGTTTAAACTTAGAGTAATCTTTATGTTCTGGCTCTGCCATGTCGCTATAAATCTCCAGAAGTTTACCACAAATCTGTGGCCTTAAATATGCCATCCATTTTTCCTCAGCTACATTGAAGTCTCTACAACATCATTCGAAGGAAATTAAGAACTTGTCGATATTGTCTTCTTTATTGTATCTTG